CACCAGTCTCAACGTCAACAGTGAAGAGGCGACTCCGGGATGCTGAAGACTGGCCAATAAAAATAAAGATTAAGATGGGCAGTCTGACATATGGCTTTTTCTTTGCAACTCTGCCTAGAAGGTCAGCATCCCGGAGTCGCCTCTTCACTGTTGACATTGAGACTGGTGTTTTGCGGATACTATTTAATGAAGCTGCCAGTTGAGGACCTGTGAGGCGTCTGTTTCTCAAACTAGACACTCTAATGTATTTGTCTTCTTATTCAGTTGTGCACCGGGGCCTCCCACTCCTCTTTCTATTCTGGTTAGAGCCAGTTTGTGCTGTTCCGTGAAGGAGTAGTACACAGCGTTGTACGAGATCTTCAGTTTCTTGGCAATTTCTCGCATGGAATAGCCTTCATTTCTCAGAACAAGAATAGACTGACAAGTTTCAGAAGAAAGTTCTTTGTTTCTGGCCATTTTGATTCTGTAATCGAACCCACAATTGCTGATGCTCCATATACTCAACTAGTCTCAAGAAGGCCAGTTTTATTGCTTCTTTAATCAGCACAACATATTTCAGCTGTGCTAACATAATTGCAAAATGGTTTTCTAATGCTCAATTAGCCTTTAAAATTATAAACTTGGATTAGCAAACACAACGTGCCATTGGAACACAGGCTGATAATGGACCTCTGTATGCCTATGTAGATATTCCATTAAAAATCAGCCGTTTCCAGCTACAATAGCCATTTACAACATTAACAATGTCTACACTGTATTTCTGATCAATTTGATGCTATTTTAATGGACAGAAAACTGATTTTCTTTCGAAAACATTTCTAAGTGACCCCAAACTTTTGAACGGTAGTGTATATACATATATGGACGAGCGATGTCAGAGCAGCATGGACTAAGATACAGTAGAACAGTATAGAATACAGTATATACATATGAGATGAGTAATGCAAGATATGTAAACATTATTAAAGTGGCTAGTGTTCCATTTCTTAAAGTGGCCAGTGATTTCTAGTCTATGTCTATAGGCAGCAGCCTCTAATGTGCTAGTGATGGCTGTTTAACAGTCTGAAGGCCTTGAGATAGAAACTGTTTTTCAGTCTGTCACACACACGCACATGCATGCCACTTCTTTCATTGGAGAGTAGATAAGACATATGAGATAATACATCACCTGTTTATATTTCATGATAATAAATACATTTGTTGTTGTATAATAAATAGCCAAGCCTTTTTGTGAAATAGCACAAAGGTCTTTACACTCCCTTTATACTCTCTCTATAAGTTTGTCCCAAATGGCACCCTAGTCTCTATATAGTACACTACTTTGAGCAGGGCTGTCTCTGCCTCCCTCCCTCCTCCCCTCTCTTGTTTCCCTCAGCTAGATAGTGCTGGTGTTTCTAAATAATCCAGTAGGTGGCAGCACAAGTAAGGCGTGGCCTTACCTTTACCCTGCAATTAGACATTATGACCAGCAGAGATCAGCGTACTCAAACTTTTAACATAGTCCTACAGCTGCACAACAAGCATTATTGTAGCTTCAACAATGCAATCATATCACATTAAGATAAAGATAACTTTATCGGTGAATTGCACACAAGGTCCAACAGAAATGTGACTTCTGCTTTTAACCCAACCCCCTTCGAAATACACATACATACACATAATATTGGAGGGGGGGGGGGGGGGGGGGGGGGGGGGGGGGGGTATGGATGTGGGAAGACCCGCGAGCAACTATGGCCCCTCATGATGAGTTCAGATTTTTTTTGTGGCCCCTACCCCATCAAAGTTGCCCATCCCTCGCTTAGCTAGAGATAGGCCTATCTCTACAGTTATCAATAATTTTGATATCAAACTTCAATCATTTGGAGAGGGGAAGGGATCTTATTTTCCGTTTAACTTATTTAAGCAGCACATTCTTTCTTCTGCAACTTCTTTTGTTAATCAAAATGTTTGGAGCGCACTTCTAGTGGGCCACAAAGTAAGTACAGTGTCACGTCACTGAAAATGTGGGACGCTTCATCTTGCACCTTCATTACGCCTGTGCAGACTAATCTCCGTACACCTTCGACAGCGATTTCTGGGCACGGTATTCAAATTGTAGCTAGATAGCTACGTAAGCTAATATTGATCTAAACAGTCTAGCTATGTACAAATTAAAATGTATTCAATATAGTAACCTGATAATAGTTGTTGCCTGAGTTTTGTTACTTTAGGTAGCTAAATTAGCTGGTTAGTTTAGCTAGTTCCGCCTTCAGTTGTGTGATTGAACGACGTAGCTAGCTAACAAGAGATTTAAAGTCGAGTGACCCAGCTTTTGGAGCAATATTTCAAAGGTAAGTGCAGCTAGCTATTATATCTTATTTCTCAAGATACACAACTGTGTCAGTGAGAATGTAAATTATTGTGTTCATTTTTAGGTCAGGAAAGTTGTAACTGGTTAGCGAATAGCTAGCTACAGTAGTGATGAATTAGCCAGAACTCTGAAAACTAGCCACCTGTTGCTAGCTAGCTATTTTGCTTGTAAGCTCCAGTACTGTACTGTAACTCATCTATCATATCACATCACTTTTTGGTATCAATAAGCTAGCTAGATTTGTCAATAACGTTATAATTAAAAGTACATCTTTATCTGTTTGAGTAAATGTTCCTATTTTAGTTAACCATCTAGCTAGCTGATAAGCTAGTGCAACTAGCTAGCTATCCAGGCAGGTCAAGTCAGGTGCAGTGCACAACCACATTTTCCATAAGTCGTTTGGCTATTATTTTGTGCCACTATAACGTTAATGACATAGTAGTTAGTCGGCAAAATGTTGGTTAAATTGATGGTAAGTTATTTAGTTGGCACATTAGTTATTGCTGTTTGGTGATACACAGCCAGTGCCCTGCTGGTTTGGCCCCATGCAATGCCAAGTGCCAGAACAACAATATTGTGTACATAATTAAAGGTAATTGAAGTAGACTTGACTTTTCCCACAATTTCAGACTACATCTTTATGACATCAAATAGGCCTAAAAGCAGTTCAGCAGACACACACACAAAAGTACCAGCAAGGCATTTTTAAGTAGGCTAGATCTATTTTGTCTAGTACAGTCATCAGTTGGATTGTTTTCAGGACATTGTGTGTCATCGTATCAGCAGGTCAGCAAAAAACCATGTAGATAGACCCATACAGTAACCTTGCTTCATCCAGCAACGAGCCATTGTTTACAGATGTCTCGTTGCGGAAGCTTCTGTAGCCTGGCATCCTTGATCAACCAAACCTGAACTATTGTCCCGCCTAGCTACCTTAAGATAAATGCACTAACTGTAAGTCGCTCTGGATAAGAGTATCTGCTAAATTACTAAAATGTAAATGTCGGGTTGAATGTGTCCTTTACTATCACATAAGTGTTTAAAAACCGTTTTTATCCAGGGTCACCTGTAGAGATTACGTGGTAGCTTACTTTCACGTCACTGTGTGGTCTGGAATGGACTACAATGGCAGCCCACATGCGGAAAATGGGTTTCATTAGTTCAGTTTCATCTCTCTGGTTTCATTGTGTGTAACTATGTAAATCATGTTACTGCACATTTATTTTCCACTCATTTAGAGAGTAGAGGAGCAAATACTTCTCAGGCATTCCATTGCATTCCTTTTCTGCTTGTTCCAACAAGTGTACATTGCCTTTAGTGCTGACTGGATGTGGTAAAAAGCTCTGTAGAATAGGAGACCTCAGGGTTTATCTAATTTGCCAGGTTCTTCTAGAGAGAAGACGAAAGAGAAGGATTGTTTTTCTATGGTTTTATCAGATTGTTGGTTGTTTTAAAGGTAAGGCTTTGTTTCTATAGGCTGCTTTAACACTTCACTGCAGAAGGTGATGGAAATCTGTAGTCTGGGTTCAAGTCCATGGTTTTAGGGAGGAGATTGGAATGTAATTTTTCTGAACAGAAAATTATGGATTTCTTCACTTTCCAATTCAGTGCATGTCATCACATCTAGGCTACCCGGTAATATGCTTTATTTAGTTAATTAGGGCCTATTTGTTTGAAATGGAAAGTGAATGATATGTGGTTAAATATTGTTTCAGACCTATAATGGTTATTGCACTGCTGTCAGTAGGCTATATGAATAAATTAGACCAAGGGCTAAACCCCCCCCCCAGTGCTGCAGAATTAACTTGTGCCCACCCAGCTCTTCCAAGATCTTCCCAGCCTTGCGGCATGATGCTTTACTCTGCTCAAGGAACAAGCCGTTAATCAGATGTCAGGGAGTACAGAACAGGCTACACTGGTTGTCGCTCTCTACAATATTTATGAAAGCTATCAAACAATTAAAGTGGAGAGCAGCTGATTTAGCACCAGAAGGCATTTTTAGGCTGATGCAGGTGTTATATCGCATCAGTTATTGCCCTCCTACATTTCAGTTTGAGAAGTTACTTTTCAAATGCCAAGTACCGGTGTCATTACTAATCTATAGCCTAATAAGTAATACATTAATAATTTGTTGGGTGCCTATATTTGGCCTATCTCACATGTACAAGTGTGTATTAATACACATGTGTGAATTGGAAATGTGTTTTTTGCTTATCCAACTCCCCCTTAGACACCCTTGGAGAGTGGGATCACGGCCAGGGTCTGGCATTATCAACGGCGACCCTGAAACAATTATGGTTAGTTACCTTGCTCAAGGGCACATCAACAGATTCTTCACCTTGTCAGCTCAGGGATTCGAACTAGCGACCTTTCATTAACTGGCCCAGTGCTCTAACTGCTAGGCTAGGTGTGTATGTAATTGGCACAGTCAAGGAAGCATCCAAACCGTCACACACGCTTTCATTTCAATGAAAGTACATACAATACTCATACCTTACCAAACCTGGAAATATGGCTTCCTTCATCTGTGTTACTTTATTCCTTTCTGTGTCATGTTCTGGTTTCCTGATACAAGAGAGAGGCCATAGGACTCTAAAACAGTCACTTATGTATGCAAACAACCTAAACATACCAGTAAGCGCAGAGAAACATGTCGTCACCTGCTCTGCTCGCTTACCCTGTGAAGCGATGTAAAATGGCGGTAGACAAAGGTGTGTGCGTGTAACTATGTGTTGTTTGTTCAAGTGTTCAGGCCAGGACCTGTTGTGGTGTATTATGGAGCCCCCCCCCCCCCCCCCCCCCCCTTTGCACTCAGAATAGCCTCAATTCGTCGGGGCATGGACTCTACAAGGTGTCGTAAGCATTCCACAGGGATGCTGGCCCATGTTGACCTCAATGCTTCCCACAGTTGTCAAGTTGGCTGGATGTCCTTTGGGTGGTGGACCATTCTTGATACACACAGGAAACTGTTGAGTGTGAAAAACCCAGCAGCGTTGCAGTTCTTCACACAAATCGGTGCGCCTGGCACGTACTACCATAACCTGTTCAAAGGCACTTCAATATTTTGTCTTGCCCATTCACCCTCTGAATGACACACATACACAATCCATGTCTCAATTGTCCCAAGGCTTAGAAATCCTTCTTTAACCTGTCTCCTCCCCTTCATCTACACTGATTTTGAAGTGGATTTAACAATTGGCATCAATAAGGGATCATAGCGTTCTCCTGGATTCACCTGGTCAGTCTATGTCATGGAAAGAGCAGGTGTTCTTAATGTTTTGTACACTCCGTTTACATGTAGGCCTACAAATAAATAGCCTATTGATTATGCCATTCAGTATAAGAAAAGCAGAATAACCAGGGCCAGGAAGTCACTTGGCAGGTTCTGTCTAGTTCCACCAAGTGCCTGATGATCCGGCTGCCCTGGCTGGCAGTGGGGATTAGTTGGGCTAATTTAAGTGGCGTACAGACGGACACTGCTACAGCTACTGCTGAGAGGAATGACATCGTGTGTCTGTGTACACTACAGTAACACTGGACTAGTCGCCAAACCGGTTAGACAGAGAAAAGCTGACCAGGTGTGAGATTGCTGCTGCTGAAACAGGACAACCTATTAGTTTGTGACTGTTCTATTAGTTAGTTATTTCTCCAATGTGCAGCAGCTAAATGAGTGTGTAGGTTAAGCAGTTCAAGCGGTGTGTTTTTCATGTCACTTTTCATGATCAGGGCTGTGACTGTAATTGAATAACCGTGTAACTGACGGTTATGGATGAAGACTGCCATTAACATTAAATAACTGTTTAAATAGGCCTACATTATTTTTTTTTGTATTAACTTTATTTTCATGTAGATATACCTAATAGTGGGATTGTTCACTAATGATTTATAAGCAATTGTTATGCTAACTTAAACTGTTTACATCTCCTCTTTCCAACTGTCGTTTGATGCTCGAGCAGCTAATCCGCTAGATAATAATAATAATAATATAATATGCCATTTAGCAGACGCTTTTATCCAAAGCGACTTAGTCATGCGTGCATACATTTTTTTGTGTATGGGTGGTCCCGGGGATCGAACCCACTACCTTGGCGTTACAAGCGCCGTGCTCTACCAGCTGACTACAGATGCGCACGGGTGTAGAAGCGCTAGCCTATAGGATGTGTGGACTTTTTTTTTAAATACAATGCACATTTTCATTGCTTGCTAGTAAATAAATCGGTCTTCTTTTAAAACAGGTTGGATGTGTCTGACTATTCATGAATTATTCAACAGCAGTCGACAAGGTTGTTCTGGCTCTGAGGCCAATAATGTGCTAATGTTGTGTCAAATGGACAATGCGTCAATCCTATCCAACCTGGCATGGTATAATTTGATACGGAACCTTTTCATAATTTATAGACTAATCAACGCTGATAAATAGGCTATTTACATGTTGTGTGTATTTGTTTCTATTTTAAAGATACTATCGCATAGCTGTCTCTCTCCCCTTCATACTTTCCTTGTCAATTCATTATCATATAGCCTACTTTCGGAAAGCCTAAGGTAGGCCTAGGTTTTTTAATACTTTTTAAGGAAATGAGAAATATTTGCTCTTGTCAGACATATGCTGGTGGCTTTGATTGACAGGTCCTTTTACAGGAGTGTGTGTGTGTGTGAGTTTGCTGATTCTCACTATAGGCCTAATGTCCATTCAGAAAGTTTCCTAAAGTAGCCTGTCTGACTATCTCTTTAATAAGAATCAAACGCACCCTTCATGATTTAATCTAGCAAAAGGCCTATTTTCAGAAAAGGCCCTTTCTCATCAATTTTGTTATTTTCGTCCGAATAATTAGGAAGAAAAAACAAATACGAGCACTTCTTTTTTTATTACCCAGTTCACACCAGTTGCGAAATATCGTCCTGCCACAATCCGTCAATTATTTATTCGGAACAGGTTAGATTTTTGCGTCTTTTCGCATGCGAAAATAAGCTGTTGGCCAATAGAAATTATCTGAGACACTGCCACTGACAGGCCGAGCACTGCCACTGACAGGTCTGTGGGTTTGTTGTGTGAATTTTAAATAATTTATCTCTGCTTGTTTGTTTTTTTACATTTGCAATGCATCAGTGCAGCAAGGTATCAATTTAGCCAATGTGATCATATTACACCAGTGCTAGGCTACACGTCGCTCTCACCATTCAAGCTTCCCCACCAGTTCATTGCCAACGCTGTAGCCTATTTTATAGACATTCAGCAAGCAAGAGGTTTGATCGATGCTTCTCTCCTCGAATAGGCCTAGGTCTATTAGTTTAAAAACTTTTTTTGAAATAAGTTTCAAACTACAGTACCAGTCAAAGTTTAGACACACCTACTCATTCAAGGGTTTTTCTTTATTTTTTAAACTATTTTTTACATTGTAGAATAATAGTGAAGACATCAAAACTATGAAATAACACATATGTAATCAAAAAAGTGTTGACCAAATCAAAATATATTTTATATTTGAGATTCTTCAAATAGCCACCCTTTGCCTTGATGACAGCTTTGCACACTCTTGACATTCACTCAACCAGCTTCACCTGGAATGCTTTTCCAACAATCTTGAAGGACTTCCCACATATGCTGAGCACTTTTTTCCTTCACTCTGCTGTCCGACTCATCCCAAACCATCTCAATTGGGTTGAGGTCGGGGGATTGTGGAGGCCAGGTCATCTGATGCAGCACTCAACACTCTCCTTCTTGGTAAAATAGCCCTTACACAGCCTGGAGGTGTGTTGGGTCATTGTCCTGTTGAAAAAAAAATTATAGTCCCACTAAGCCCAAACCAGATGGGATGGTGCATCGCTGCAGAATGCTGTGGTAGCCATGCAGGTTAAGTGTCACCAGCAAAGCACCCCCACACCATAACACCTCCTCCATGCTTTACGGTGGGAACTACACATGCGGAGATCATCCGTTCACCCATGCCGCGGCTCACAAAGACACAGCGGTTTGAACCAAAAACTCAAATTTAGACTCCAGACCAAAGGACACATTTCCACCAGTCTAATGTCCATTGCTCGTGATTCTTGGCCCAAGCAGGTATTTTCTTCTTATTGGTGTTCTTTAGTAGTGGTTTCTTTGCAGCAATTCGACCATGAAGGCCTGATTCACACAGTCCCCTCTGAACAGTTGATGTTGATGTGTCTGTTACTTGAACTCTGTGAAGCATTTATTTAGGCTGCAATTTCTGAGGCTGGTAACTCTAATGAACTCATCCTCTGCAGCAGAGTTAACTCTGGGTCTTCCATTCCTGTGGCGGTCTTCATGAGAGCCAGTTTCATCATAGCGCTTGATGGTTTTTGCGACTGCACTTGAAGAAATGTTCTGGATTGACTGACCTTCATGTCGTAAAGTAATTATGGACTGTTGTTTCTCTTTGCTTATTTGAGCTGTTCTTGCCATAATATGGACTTGGTCTTTTACCAAATAGGGCTATCTTCTGTATACCCCTACCCCCTACCTTGTCACAACACAACTGATTGGCTCAAATGCATTAAGAAGGAAAGAAATTCCACAAATTAACTTTTAAGAAAGCACACCTGTTAATTTAAATGCATTCCAGGTGTCTACCTCATGAAGCTGGTTAAGAGTATGCCAAGAGTGTGCAAAGCTGTCATCAAGGCAAGGGGTGGCTATTTGAAGAATCTCAAATATAAAATATATTTTGATTTGTTTAACATGTTTTTGGTTACTACATGATTCCATTTGTTATTTCATAGTTTTGATGTATTCACTATTATTCTACAATGTAAACCATTTTTAATAAAGAAAAACCCTTGAATGAGTAGGTGTGTCCAAACTTTTGACTGGTAGTGTATATTGCTGGTCATTGTCTATATATAAGCTACTCGTTCAAGAGCTAGAGAGAGAGGGAAGCGAGAGGCCAGTGGATTTGCCAGCAGAGATGCGTGATTTGTGCAAGAATGGAACAGTGAAGAAGACAGAAAGATGTGTAAGTTAAGTTAATTAATATATTAATGCATCATTCATATAGCCTATATATTAGCCTATATATTATAGGCCTGCAAAAGTTAATCTAGGTGACCACCTGTGCTATAGGCAGATTATAACAGACATACTGTTTTTTGATACCCTACCAAAAGGATTGGAAGGTTAGGTTTTTTAAATGTTTTTGGGAAAGGACAAATGTGATTTGCTTATGTGTCTGAGTGAGATGCGTTGTAGGCAGCTTTGATTGATTGGTCTTTTTTAGGTGGGTGGGTGTGTGTATGAGTTCACTAATTCTCTATGTCCATTAAGAAAGTTTCCTAAAATAGGCCTGTCTGGACTTCATCTCTTTAATCAGATGGAAGAAAAAAATAATCTGTCTTGTTGCAGGGTCAGCATATGTGCAAGGAATGATGACAGGTGCTAATTTTGCGCTTCCTCTCCTGTTAAATGGGATGCAACGGAATGAAACGTAGCCAAGTGCCTTTAATGATTCATCCTATAGGATGCATAGCCTATATCCTAATATTTTCAGTAGCATATTATTTTTCCATTAGTATACGATTTTTCTCTCATTACTGTATCCTCTGGCCTCTGAACAACATATTGCCACAGAAAATGACCTCAGCAGCATTGGTGACATTATCCGAATTGTTCAGAGGGAAAGACTTGATGATAATGGTTTATTGCGTCAATTGGAATCAGTATTTCTTAGGAATTCCTCTCCAATCAGACATTTCATAATTCGTATGCTAGACTAATATGTTGATGTAATAACGTTAATAATAATAATGAAATGCTACTGATAATAACGAAGTGTAATGGTAATAGTGAAGTTGCACAGAAAAGCCACGTGTTTTTTTTTAGTCTGATGTGCGCCAACCCCCCCTCCCCCCAATTGCCGTAACCTCAAATTCCAAGACCGTCACAGCCCTAGTCATGATGTGTCTGGATGTATTAGTCCCTAGTGACCGTCCCTGTCCTTCTCCTTGGCAGAGATATTGATCTGTGTCCCAGAGCACATAAGCCCTGTGTTGTCAGCACTCTGTAGTAAAGTACAACGCTCTACAAATCTGCAGTAATAGTCGCACCTCAACAGTCTGTCAGGCTGTTTTCCATGAGGGGTATGTTTTGTTTGACCTAGACTGACTTTGTTTTCTCTCTTTATAGACAGACACTATTTGGCTCCAATCACAGGAATCCCAGCTGCTACTACTGACTGGGGACGTTACAAGGCCAATGGTCTTCTGAAGTGAGTAAGTTACCTAGCTGTTGGCCCAGAACTGGCTCTACTCAGTCCAAGTCATGCTCACTGGGCACTTTGCTAGGGTTGGTAACTTCTGATTGATATGTAGGTCAAAGACTTGACTTCCTGTTTGAGCTCTGGTCCACGTTCACAAGGCAAATGTTGACGAATGTTGCAGATAGAAATGGCATAAATAGAGCCGACATGAGTCCTTATTCTACATTTCAGAGAGGCATGTTTGTTCTACATGACATATTTCTATTTGGACGTTCCACAACATTGCACCAAGCTGAACGCAGCCCTGCCTTTTTTCTGCTCAGGTTAGTCACATGGGCAGCAGGGAGGGATTCCATTTGTTTTGGTCAGGGACTACTACATTCCAAAGTGCAGCAACGGGCCGATACTGTACCTACCACTAACTGCCCCGCCCATTTCCTGCCACGACAGACCAGGGCTGCACCTCACAATCAAATCACAAACTGGGTGACCACAGCATTCTGTGTTGCTGTGGTGACCGTTCAACTCAGTAGCGATCGGCCGTTTGTGGTGAACAACTTTGTCAGATCCTGATCCAGCCCTGGGTCTGGGTGCGTCTGCCTCAACGAACAAACACTCCCACTGACTGTCTCTCTCTCAGTTCAAAGAGCAGCTCTGAGCTTCCCTGCATACCCACTAAAGCTGTCCTTAGGTGTGATTACAGGAAAGGTACCTGATCGCTTGAAGAGGTGAATGTTCCTGCGGGCCACATACACAGACAGTAGGCTTCCATTTAATGCAATAAATAACTGGCTGCACTTGTCCTGTCCCATCGTCCAGAATATAAAATAAAATAACTAACTAGTGTTTTGTTATACATTGTTTGCGTCATGTAGAAGGCTATAGCTTAGTAGTAAAGAAGCTAGGGCTGTCCCCGAAAAAAGTGATCTTCGTTGACTGAGAGTTATCTGTTCTTTTGACCAATCGATTGATGGAAATTTAAAAACGTGTATTTTAACATATCTATCTATTTGTTTTTATATACAGTGGGGGGAAAAAAGTATTTAGTCAGCCACCAATTGTGCAAGTTCTCCCACTTAAAAAGATGAGAGGCCTGTAATTTTCATCATAGGTACACGTCAACTATGACAGACAAAATGAGGAAAAAAAATCCAGAAAATAATATAATAATAAAATCACATTGTAGGATTTTTTATCAATTTATTTGCAAATTATGGTGGAAAATTCTTACCTGTAACAAGCTCCTTTAAGAGTGTGCTCCTAATCTCAGCTCGTTACCTGTATAAAAGACACCTGGGAGCCAGAAATCTTTCTGATTGAGAGGGGGTCAAATACTTATTTCTGTCATTAAAAATGCAAATCAATTTATAACATTTTGACATGTGTTTTTCTTGATTTTTTTGTTGTTATTCTGTCTCTCACTGTTCAAATAAACCTACCATTAAAATTATAGACTGATCATTTCTTTGTCAGTGGGCAAACGTACAAAATCAGCAGGGGATCAAATACTTTTTTCCCTCACTGTATATACACCTGTTCTGAAAGGCCCCAGGGTCTGCAACACCACTAAGTAAGGGGCACAACCAATCAAGCGGCACCATGAAGACCAAGGAGCTCTCCAAACAGGTCAGGGACAAAGTTGTGGAGAAGCACAGATCAGGGTTGGGTTATAAAAAATTATCCGAAACTTTTAACATCCCACGGAGCACCATTTTTAAATCCATTATTAAAAAATGGAAAGAAAATGGCACCACAACAAACCTGCCAAGAGAGGGCCACCCACCAAAACTCACGGACCAGGCAAGGAGGGCATTAATCAGAGAGGCAACAGAGACCAAAGATAACCCTGAAGGAGCTGCAAAGCTCCACAGCTGAGATTGGAGTATCTGTCCATAGGACCACTTTAAGCCGTACACTCCACAGAAGTGGGCTTTACGGAAGAGTGGCCAGAAAAAAGCCATTGCTTGAAGAAAAAAATGGTGTTTGCCAAAAGGCATGTGGGAGACTCCCCAAACATATGGAAGAAGGTACTCTGGTCAGATGAGACTAAAATTGAGCTTTTTGGCCATCAAGGAAAACAGTATGTCTGGCGCAAACCCAACACCTCTCATCACCCCTAGAACACCATCCCCACAATGAAGCATGGTGGTGGCAGCATCATGCTGTGGTAGGGACTGGGAAACTGGTCAGAATTGAAGGAATGATGGATGGCGCTAAATACAGGGAAATTCTTGAGGGAAACCTGTTTCAGTCTTCCAGAGATTTGAGACTGGAACAGAGGTTCACCTTCCAGCAGGACAATGACCTTAAGCATACTGCTAAAGCAACACTTGAGTGGTTTAAGGGGAAACATTTAAATGTCTTGGAATGGCCTAGTCAAAGCCCAGACCTCAATCCAATTGAGAATCTGTGGTATGACTTAAAGATTGCTGTACACCAGCGGAACCCATCCAACTTGAAGGAGCTGGAGCAGTTTTGCCTTGAAGAATTGGCAAAATCCCAGTGGCTAGATGTGCCAAGCTTATAGAGACATACCCCAAGAAACTTGCAGCTGTAATTGCTGCAAAAGGTGGCTCTACAAAGTATTGACTTTGGGGGGGTGAATAGTTATGCACGCTCAAGTTTTCTGTTTTTTTGTTTTATTTCTTGTTTGTTTCACCCCAAAAAAGATGTATCTTCAAATTGGTAGGCATTTTGTGTAAATCAAATGATACAAACCCCCCAAAAAATCTAATTTAATTCTAGGTTATAAGGCAACAAAATAGGAAAAATGCCAAGGGTGGTGAATGCTTTCGGAAGGCACTGTACAATTTCAGTAGCACATGCCTTAGAGTGATGTTCTGTGCCATCCTCACGGCTTCCTCCAATGGATTAGTCCACTCAGACAGGTGTGAATCAGATGGGTGTCTTGTGCACCATAAAAAATGTAATGAAAACATTTGTGACTGACTGCTCGACTAAAGAAATCTTGGTCGACCAACATCCTATCGACCAAACAATCGACCAGTTGACTAAATGGGGTCAGCCCTAAAAGAAACCCTACGTGATATTGCCTCCACACATGTTGCTGTTAATAACCAGAACTTGTGCAGCTGGTACTGTGGTTGTAGTTGATAGTACTGTGGTTGTAAATTAGCTGGTTGTAATTGGCTAACACGCATTGATGACCTGTGACGCAACCCTGCTTGGATCTGTTCCCTAAAAGCTTACCTTGAACACATCAGGAAGACTGGGCAATAGATAAGTCAGCCACTGAATGCTTTTGGCTGTGTTAGCAAATAATTTTTTTAAAAAAATACCAGATAGACATTCACATGATACTGGTTCATTCCTCCATCACCTGGGTCTCTTTCATATGGCCACAAACTTCATATCTGGCTCAGACAAAGTAATTGCTTGTTAGCGACAGGTGTTTACATTTGCCAGTGTAATGAAATTCGTTTTTGGCTTGGCCCAGCTTCACCTGCCTGGCTCATGGCTAGGCTGATTAATGCACAATTATGTCACAGCTGCTGGCTCAGGCTGGTCTTTTAGAAGTCCTCTTTCACTTCCATCTGCTCTCTGACTCAGTGTAAATTATCAATATGAGTCTGGAAAAGCTTGTGGCCTGGAACACTCTACATCAATTTGCTACTGTCCTAAATGAATATGGTGTGTGTGAAGGCGAGAGATTGATTTCTAAGCTCCATATATATATATATATATTAGAGACTCAAACCGTTTTGAATATGGGTCTAAAGCTATTAATTTTACAGTAACTAAACTGCTTCTTCCTGGCTCTAAGGCCTGTCGGGTGTCTGTTGGGGAGATGAGAGGAAAGCATCACTTTGCTACTCTCTCCTCTCCCCCTTTTACAGACTGAATGCTCTGCCTCCTGGAAAGATGATCTAATGTGGTGTCAATTATTATTTTTACACCAACGCTCTTATCTGAGGGATAATGACCTCTGTTGATAGTCTCCTATGAGACACACACACAGTCATGTAGGATGAGGCTGGCTAGGTCAAACAAGTGTCTAATTAGGCTATGTCATTTATTTGTGTCTGGTGCCGATTTTAATCTGTTGTTAGTTCTACTTCCTCATTTGCTCTGTTTCTTCCTTGTTTTGTCTGACTAAGGAGCTGCTGACTGCTGGGCTTTGGACGGATGGAAAATCAGGGTAAGAAAAGTATGATTTCTATTTAGGCCTAAATCCTATTCTATCCTAGCCTACTGCTTAATGAAAATTGATTTAGCCTAGCTGTAATAGCATGTCATGCCTTTTGTGTAAATGGCTTAGGCTTTATTGTCTAGGAAAATGTGTTTTTGTATGTGGTGGTCTTAGCTTTTGCCCTCAGTCAAAACATTTGAAAACCCACACTTAAGACTGTTCTAACCTAGCTAGATGTTATAAGTGTTGCATACAATGGTGTTGTGCTTTGGAGATTACCATCAGGAATGGTATCAGAAAAGCCGAAAGTGGTGAGTCAACACTAACAGTGTAAAGTGCCAAGTTGCCTGTGCTGCGCAAGCGATACTAGCCTGTCCTTCCATTAGGGGTTGGGTGCAGCGTGACGCATGGCTCTGTTGACAGGGGCTATCTGGTTGGGCCTCTCTCCCAGCAGAGGACACACCTGTAAAGGTTAGGAAGCAGCTCAGTGTTGTTCTCTGCTGGCCCCACACGGCATTGGCTCTAGTCTCTAGTTTCAACTGCAGAAGAACCTCCATGTGAGTCCATGGAAGAGGAGACTGTACTTGATACTGTCTCGCTAGTTTCTCCCTGCCCTATCGCAGACTGATCTGTTGAGTTCTATCGTTGGATGTATTGTTCAAATCTGTTTATTGATCTCTGAAAGGAATGGCTGTACGACGTGAGTCAAATTCTGTTTCTGTTGGTGATTTTGTGATTTCTCTGTTCCGTTCTTGTGTTGAATAGTTTTTTTGTTTGTTTGAAACTGGTGAACAATGTCAAAGTAATTTGTGAGGCCATTTTATCAAGCAGAGTCTAAAAGACTGAACTTGATAACTGAATGAGGGAGCGGTGTGATTGTTTGTACTGTAAACTGGCTGAGATCATGTGATATGTGCTATGTGTGTGGCCTCCCCTGGTCTTCCTAAGCCAGGCATTGAAAGACGTGGGGGCTGGTCTGGTGCAGTTCTGGATTGGTCAGGGCACTGTCCTGGTTGACCAACACACACACACACACACACACAAAAAAAAGAGATGTTATGTTGTCACAATGCAGTGAAATTTGTTCTTTTAAGGGGTCAGCCAAAGTACTACGGTGCCCCTGGAGCAAATTAGGTTTAAGTGCCTTGCTCAAGGGCACGTCGGCAGATTTCCAGCTTGTCAGTTCGGGTATTCGAACCAGCAATTTTTCGGTTACCAGCCCAACGCTCTAACCGCTAGGCTACCTGCCACCCTATTACACCTAGAGGAACAGAGTCACAGTCCACCAGCTAGGACAGATTAGAAGGCCAGATCCACTGAACCCTGACCCTGGCTGGCTTTCTGACCCTGGCTGGCCAAGTGGCCCAGCTCAGTATAAATACACCTCACTGATTTGATTTCCTCCCTGTCTCTTGAACTGTTTTCAACGGAGGTGTTTAAACCGGACTGATTCCTTCCCTGTCATAGTGCCCAGAGCTGTATAGGGCTCTGATGGGGCCTTTTATCTCAATGGTGGTGGTTTTGGCAGTGACTGGAGTGACATACACTACCGGTCAAAAGTGAAGTCATTCAAACTATGAAATAACACACATGGAATTATGTAGTAACCAAAAAAGTGTTAAACAAATCAAAATACATTTTATATTTGAGATTCTTCAAATAGCCACGCTTTGCCTTGATGACAGCTTTACACACTCTTGGCATTCTCTCAACCAGTTTCACCTGGAATGCTTTTCCAACAGTCTTGAAGGAGTTCACACATATGCTGAGCACTTGTTGGCTTCTTTTCCTTCACTCTGTGGTCCGACTCATCCCAAACCATCTCAATTTGGTTGAGGTCGGGGGATTGTGGAGGCCAGGTCATCTGATGCAGCACTCATCACTCTCCTTCTTGGTAAAATATCCCTTACACAGCCAGCTATGGTTCCCAGGGTAGTGGGCCTGATTAGGACCTTTTATCAAAAAGCTGACCTATAGCCTCACATTCTTAACATTCCTGCATGTAATTTCCCCTTGAGAGAGGTCAGTTTTGTGTCATTACCTGGTTCCACCTCTAGAGAGAGCTACAGTGTTCTGCACTGTGACTCAACAGAGGCAAACAGGTTTTTGAATTGAGTAGTGTAGTGTCAGATTTGAAAAGACGCACACACTCAATCTTTTTTATTTTTAAGTCAAGGTCATTCACACACTGACTACTTCATTCAGAGCAATAAACAGTTGGCTACTTTTATAGGTTACACACTGTATTCAAAATAGCTACTGTTTGAAACATTGACAGGTTTGAACTAGTGTCAAGTAAGTTATCGAACCAAGAATTGTGCCACCTGTAACTGAACGGTTTAGGAACGTGTGCCGTGTCAACAAACAAACTGCACATTCCCACAGTCAATTAGTCATTCAATCATTCATTGGTTATGGTGGACCTTTTGTAGCTCAGTTGGTAGAGCATGGCACTTGTAATGCCAGGGTAGTGGGTTCAATTCCCAGGACCACCCATACGTAAAAAAAAATGATGCACGCATGACTAAGTCATTTTGGATAAAAGCATCTGCTATTATTATTCATATACACTCGGTGGACAGTTTATTAGGTACACCCATCTAGTTTCAGGTGGGACCCCCCTTTGCCTCCAGAACAGCCTGAATTCTTCGGGGAATGGAAACGTTACTCAATTGGTATCAAGGGACCTAACGTGTGCTAGGAAAAAATTCCCCACATCATTACACCACCACCAGCCTGTACCAATGACACCAGGCAGGATGGGGCCGTGGACATATCCTGACTCTACCATCAGCGTGACGCAACAGGAACTGGGATTCGTCAGACCAGGCAATGTTTTTCCACTCATCAATTGTCCAGTGTTGGTGATCACGTGCCCACTGGAGTAGCTTCTTCTTGTTTTTAGCTGATAGGAGTGGAACCTGGTGTGGTCGTCTGCTGCAATAGCCCATCCGTGACAAGGATCAACGAGTTGTGCGTTCCGAGATGCCGTTCTGCGCACCACTGTTCTACTGCGCCGTTATTTGCCTGTTTGTGGCCTGCCTGTTAGCTTGTACGATTCTTGCCATTCTCTTTTGACCTCTCATCAACAAGCTATTAGCGCCCACAGGACTGCCGCTAACTGGATGTTTTTTGTTTGTCACACCATTCTCGGTAAACCCTAGACACTGTCATGCTTGAAAAGCCCAGGAGGCCGGTCATTTCTGAGATACTGGAACCGGCGCGCCTAGCACCGACGAGGATACCACGCTCAAAGTCGATTAGGTCACTTGTTTTGTCCATTCTAACGTTCAATCGAACAGTAACTGATTGCTTTGTTGCCTGTCTGCCTGCTTTATATAGCAAGCCACAGTGGCTGTGGTGACTCACTGTCTGTAGGTGCAAACCATTTTTGTAAACAGGGTGGTGTACGTAATAAACTGGCGACTGAGTGTATATTATATTGAGCTTGACTAGGTTTATTCACACAGTTACTCTCATGCTATGTGAGTTTGTTGTCTTTTAATGAGCTACATTTCCCAATTTAGTTTATTTACCTTCTGATTACTGTCAATATTGTAGGCTAGTCTCTAAAGGTTGAGTATATGCAGTTCTGTGACTGCCTAGGTTCATTGGGCTACTAGTTCACTTAGACTTAGACTATTATAGCTAGGCTAGGGGAAGAAGCAACTGTTGATTCCTTTATGCTCTGCAGTCATAGTTTGAGATGGACTTTCTGCACGTTGCTATTTGCATTATTTGAGAAAACATCTCTCATCCAGCAGGTCTTACTGTATATCATAACAGTTTATCACATTTTTAGGTAGGCTAATCTACTGTTTTATGTATTGGCACAGACTGAGTTTGAGTGTAGGCATTTATACAGCTCCACAAGCTTTCTTGTCCACTCCATGGAACAGGAGTGATTTAAGATCAAGAATAGTTTGTTAGGCTATAGGCCTAGCTATTCACAAATTTGCCTCAGTCATCCAGGCAATGCTGACTGGTCTGGCAATTGTCAAATCTGCTCTTGATAAGATTCTCAGTAAATGGAATGTGTTTGTGGACTCTGGGTTGTATCTTCTTGTAGACTTGAAAGGGTTGCATCCCTAGTGTAGTGTACAGCCCGCTCGGTCTGATTGGCAGTAGGAAAGAAATGCCTTCCTCTCCCACCCCCTCCTTACCTCCCTCCAGGAGCTATTTCTCCTCTCCCCCTCTCAGCCTAAACAGAGTGATTACATGTAACAACACCACTCACTGCTAACATTCAGTACAGCAGGGCTGAAGGAACATTGCTGTTCAACAGGGATTTCTGACTGACACATTAAACACTCACTGAAAGACCTGCTCCTTTTGTCAGTTCACTTCCCCCAATAGTCCCACTGTGAAAGAAAGACCAATAGAAAGCAGAAACACCTCTTGAGGGGGTGTAGCTCAGTTGGTAGAGCATGGTGTTTGCAACGCCAGGGTTGTGGGTTCGATTCCTAAGGGGGGCCAGTATGAAAAATAAAAAATAATGTATGCACTCACTAACTGTATGTCGCTCTGGATAAGAGCGTCTGCTAAATGACTAAAATGTAAATGTGTTCTGTAGAATTCAGTGTGCCCTGAGATATTGTGGTGGTGTTGATTTTAGCAGTGTGTTGACGTTGGGGCATCTTAGGTGAGCTGTTATGCAATTATGTCTTCTCTCTTCCTCAACAGTTGGGCTTTTTCAAAACTATCCATCCAAACTAAACTATCCATAAAATAAGAAAGGAGTGTTTTGATTAACCTGTAAGCAACAACTCTACCATTCAGCTGTCCTTCTGCACAACAACACACCCTTCACTCATGAGTGGTGCACTACACATTATAGGCTATGTAGTTGACTCCGGGAGTGTAATACGACAACTCAGTGACATCACTTCCTCTTTGCATGGTGTGGAGCTCCACCCTCCACCTAGAACCATCTCACCTTCTACCACTTCTCACGTTACCAACCTCTCCTCTCCCCAGCAGACCTGGGTTCAAATACTATTTTAATTATCTCAAATACTGTTAGCTTTTGCTCTAGTCTGCCTGTAGTACCAGATGGGTGGTGTTTGCACAATTGCACATATTCTATTGATCCCATTGTGCCAGGCAAGATCAATCAAGCCCAGATAAAATATCTGAAATTATTTTGAATAATATTTGAACCCAGGTCTGTTATCCAGCGAGCAGAGAGCCCTCCCATTGCCATTGTGCCTGGGTGCTGCTCTCTCTGCTCTGCTGGAGGGGACCCACTCTGACTGAAACCTCTCTGGGCTTGACTACACTGGACTGGCCTACCCTCCACCCCTCTCCTACCCCCCACCACTACCAAGCCCTCTCTCTCACCTCCCGTATACTTTGCCCCTGAAAAATCTGCGGTGAGGAATGACAGGCATCTGAGTCTTCCGGAATGCCGCTGCCTTATAACTGGAGTACCTTATTTATGAAGTCAGCTAGACAGACAGGAAGGAAGGGAGGAGGGACTTAGCAAACTGAGTGAGTAAGCAAGTGTGTGTGAGAGCGAGAGCGAGACCAAAACACACACAGTAATAGACGGAAGGGCAGGGCGAGACTAGAAAGAAAGAGAGAAAAAGAGAGGGGTAGGGAACGACATGAACTGAGGGAGTAGAAGAGTCTTGGGTTACAGGAGCGTTAAGGTGGTTGGGTTTGTTGGCGAGGATCATAGCTGGGGATCTATTTTTCCTCCCTGCCGTGGACCCGAGGAGAGGTAGGAGCCGGTGGGACAGGGGCGTGGGGTAGCATGGGACAGAGTGCCAGCAATGCTGAGACAGTGCCCCAGCAACACCAACAGCAACCTGCTCAACACAACACTGGTGAGTCCAAGGACAGAACAGGACAGGAAGCATGTACAGAACCTGAGGACATGAGCTTTTGTATTTGACTTTGTATTTGTTTTTGGAAGAGGAGGTTTTCTGTGAAGTAGCCTACTCAGCATAACGCTGTTTGTTTGTGTTGGCGTGGGAGAACAGAGGACCTAACAGGACCTAAGGACCTGCTTTTGTATTGGTTTCTTTGGAAGATGAGTTTGTTTGTGGAATGTTTTGTAGAGAAGTGTTTGTGTTAGCATGGAACAGAGAGGGTAGGCGGATATGGAGGAGATATAGTGCAGGTGTATTTGTGTTGGAAACAGAGACCGAGAGAGAGAGCGGAGGCAGAGAAGTGCAGGCACAGACCGGTATCAGGGAATTAATGTATGTTGATGGAATGTGGTGATTGTGTAATACACCAACCTCACTGACCACTCTGCTGTCTAAACTACACCAACCTCACTGACCACTCTGCTGTCTAAACTACACCAACCCTACTGACCACTCTGCTGTCTAAACTACACCAACCTCACTGACCACTCTGCTGTCTAAACTACACCAACCCTACTGACCACTCTGCTGTCTAAACTACACCAACCTCACTGACCACTCTGCTGTCTCTGTGTGTGTGTCAGGATTCCATCTCTTATTATGGTGTTGTACAGTTTGCCTAGCCTAAAGCCCCCATCGGTCCTCTCTAATACACAGAGACAAACACAGAAACCTGTTTTTGCTGCTGTGTCTGTCAGAGGGCGGAACACATAACTGTTGAATTTAGACTGTTCCTCTGTGTGCAGAGAGAGATCTCCAGTCTCCGCTTGATAGGGTGGTGGCTCTGTATAGTTGAGCTCCAGTCTATTAGGCTTGGATTGTGAGTTGTAGTCAGTGAGAAGAACACGTTACAGTTGGATTTAGGCCTAATTGTCTCAATCTCTGTACCGTGCAGCGTTTTGGTGGGGTGGTGGCTCATCCGAGATTGTCTTAGAGACATTGGAATGAAGCAGAATGCTAATTTCTGTGGACAACGGACAATAAAGTAATCTCCTTATTATCCCACTACTTCTTGTGCTCAAGTTTGTTGGGCTTATATTGTGAGTTTCTAATCCAACTAATGTGAACCGCATGACATGGTCTGGTCAGTCAGTGTTTGCTGTGTGATGTTGTGGACTTTGATAGGTTGGCATTGTTTTGTTGTGACCTTCGAACTCTTTAAAAAGGTAAAGAAATTGCATGCCTTGGTTTAGGTATTTTATCTGTACAATGTGGGTTTTATATTAGAGCCCGTTGGGGAATGTTAATGTAGTGTAAGCCTAGTAGGCATTGTGTACTTTAAACTGAGTTGGTAATGTTATGTAATGTAGTTATTGCAAACAATAAACTTGTAACACATGTTGACTCATACAGTGCAGTACATACATACAGTGAGGGGAAAAAAGTATTTGATCCCCTGCTGATTTTGTACGTTTGCCCACTGACAAAGACATTACATTTACATTTTTTTTACATTTTAGTCATTTAGCAGACGCTCTTATCCAGAGCGACTTACAGGAGCAATTAGGGTTAAGTGCCTTGCTCAAGGGCACATTTACGTCATTTAGCAGACGCTCTTATCCAGAGCGACTCACAAATTGGTGCATTCACCCTATAGCCAGTGGGATAACCACATTACAATTTTTTTTTGGGGGGGGGGGGGGGGGGGGGGGTGGAAGGATTACTTTATCCTATCCCAGGTATTCCTTAAAGAGGTGGGGTTTCAAATGTCTCCGGAAGGTGGTGATTGACTCCGCTGTCCTGGCGTCGTGAGGGAGCTTGTTCCACCATTGGGGTGCCAGAGCAGCGAACAGTTTTGACTGGGCTGAGCGGGAACTATGCTTCCGCAGAGGAAGGGGAGCCAGCAGGCCAGAGGTGGATGAACGCAATGCCCTCGTTTGGGTGTAGGGACTGATCAGAGCCCGAAGGTACAGAGGTGCCGTTCCCCTCACTGCTCCATAGGCAAGCACCATGGTCTTGTAACGGATGCGAGCTTCAACTGGAAGCCAGTGGAGTGTGCGGAGGAGGGGGGTGACGTGAGAGAACTTGGGAAGGTTGAACACCAGACGGGCTGCGGCGTTCTGGATGAGTTGTAGGGGTTTAATGGCACAGGCAGGGAGGCCAGCCAACATCGAGTTGCAGTAATCCAGACGGGAGATGACAAGTGCCTGGATTAGGACCTGTGCCGCTTCCTGTGTAAGGCAGGGTCGTACTCTCCGAATGTTGTAGAGCATGAACCTGCAGGAGCGGGTCACCGCCTTGATGTTAGCGGAGAACGACAGGGTGTTGTCCAGGGTCACGCCAAGGCTCTTCGCACTCTGGGAGGAGGACACAACGGAGTTGTCAACCGTGATGGCGAGATCATGGAACGGGCAGTCCTTCCCCGGGAGGAAGAGCAGCTCCGTCTTGCCAGGGTTCAGCTTGAGGTGGTGATCCGTCATCCATACTGATATGTCTGCCAGACATGCAGAGATGCGATTCGCCACCTGGTTATCAGAAGGGGGAAAGGAGAAGATTAGTTGTGTATCGTCAGCGTAGCATTGATAGGAGAGGCCATGTGAGGATATGACAGAGCCAAGTGACTTGGTGTATAGGGAGAAAAGGAGAGGGCCTAGAACTGAGCCCTGGGGGACACCAGTGGTGAGAGCACGTGGTGCGGAGACAGCTTCTCGCCACGCCACTTGGTATGAGCGACCGGTCAGGTAGGACGCAATCCAGGAGTGAGCCGCGCCGGAGATGCCCAGCTCGGAGAGGGTGGAGAGGAGGATCTGATGGTTCACAGTATCAAAGGCAGCAGACAGGTCTAGAAGGACAAGAGCAGAGGAGAGAGAGTTAGCTTTAGCAGTGCGGAGAGCCTCCGTGACACAGAGAAGAGCAGTCTCAGTTGAATGACCAGTCCTGAAACCTGACTGGTTTGGATCAAGAAGGTCATTCTGAGAGAGATAGCAAGAGAGTTGGCTAAAGACGGCACGCTCAATAGTTTTGGAAAGAAAAGAAAGAAGGGATACTGGTCTGTAGTTGTTGACATCAGTGGGATCGAGTGTTGGTTTTTTGAGAAGGGGAGCAACTCTCGCTCTCTTGAAGACGGAAGGGACATGGCCAGCGGTCAAGGATGAGTTGACATGCCAAAGACATGATCATTCTATAATTTTAATGGTATGTTTATTTGAACAGTGAGAGACAGAATAACAACAAAAAAACGCTTGACAAAAATGTTATAAATAGATTTTCATTTTAATGAGGGAAATAAGTATTTGACCCCTCTGCAAAACATGACTTAGTACTTGGTGGCAAAACCCTTGTTGGCAATCACAGAGGTCAGACGTTTCTTGTAGTTGGCCACCAGGTTTGCACACATCTCAGGAGGGATTTTGTCCCACTCCTCTTTGCAGATCTTCTCCAAGTCATTAAGGTTTCGAGGCTGACGTTTGGCAACTCGAACCTTCAGCTCCCTCCACAGATTTTCTATGGGATTAAGGTCTGGAGACTGGCTAGGCCACTCCAGGACCTTAATGTTCTTCTTCTTGAGCCACTCCATTGTTGCCTTGGCCGTGTGTTTTGGGTCATTGTCATGCTGGAATACCCATCCACGACCCATTTTCAATGCCCTGGCTGAGGGAAGGAGGTTCTCACCCAAGATTTGACGGTACATGGCCCCGTCCATCGTCCCTTTGATGCGGTGAAGTTGTCCCGTCCCCTTAGCAGAAAAACACCCCCAAAGCATAATGTTTCCACCCCCAAGTTTGACGGTGGGGATGGTGTTCTTGGGGTCATAAGCAGCATTCCTCCTCCTCCAAACACGGCGAGTTGAGTTGATGCCAAAGAGCTCGATTTTGGTCTCATCTGACCACAACACTTTCACCCAGTTCTCCTCTGAATCGTTCAGATGTTCATTGGCAAACTTCCGACGGGCCTGTATATGTGCTTTCTTGAGCAGGGGGACCTTGCAGGCGCTGCAGGATTTCAGTCCTTCACGGCGTAGTGTGTTACCAATTGTTTTCTTGGTGACTATGGTCTCAGCTGCCTTGAGATCATTTACAAGATCCTCCCGTGTAGTTCTGGGCTGATTCCTCACCATTCTCATGATCATTGCAACTCCACAAGGTGAGATCTTGCATGGAGCCCCAGGCCGAGGGAGATTTACAGTTATTTTGTGTTTCTTCCATTTGCGAATAATCGCACCAACTGTTGTCACCTTCTCACCAAGCTGTTTGGCGATGGTCTTGTAGCCCATTCCAGCCTTGTGTAGGTCTACAATCTTGTCCCTGACATCCTTGGAGAGCTCTTTGGTCTTGGCCATGGTGGAGAGTTTGGAATCTGATAGATTGATTGCTTCTGTGGACAGGTGTCTTTTATACAGGTAACAAGCTGAGATTAGGAGCACACTCTTAAAGGGAGTACTCCTAATCTCAGCTCATTACCTCCCTCATTAAAATGCAAATCAATTTATAACATTTTGACATGCGTTTTTCTGGAATTTATTTTGTTCAAGTTCAAATGAAGTTCAAATAAACCTACCATTTAAAATTGTAGACTGATCATTTCTTTGTCAGTGGGCAAACGTACAAAATCTGCAGGGGATCAAATACTTTTTTCCCACACTGTATAATTGTATTTCTTATGTACAGTTCTCTCCTGTGTATACTTCCACTGCATGCATGCATGGTATACCACCACAGTGCTACGCTCGTAGGAATAGAATGTCATTCCAACTTTATGGCTACGTTACTCCATGCAGTTATCAGAAGCTATGTTGACTCAGTGCGTGTCATGGCATTGGTATGGGTCATTTACCGTATGGAGCCTTCAGTATTACTGCTGGTTGCGTAAGAGCAAGCCAAGGATTAGGCTACTCTAGCAGCTGTCTCTGCTTCTCTCTGCTTGTCATGTTAACACAGTAATGGCAGCAGGTGGATTTTCTAAGCCGGGAAACAATGAGTACATTCACCTTGACAATATTGTCGCAGTTTTCGGTTCAAACAAGACGTGTGTGTGTGCGCAGGTTTGTTGTAATATACGTAGCTTGCATGCCAGTAAGACAGTGCTCAACCTGTGGATGGATGTCAAGCTCTCTCTCTCTTTGTGATGGCCTATCAGTCTCTGTAGCAGTGGCCTCTCTCTCTCTCTCTCTTTGTGATGGCCTATCAGTCTCTGTAGCAGTGGCCTCTCTCTCTCTTTGTGATGGCCTATCAGTCTCTGTGTAGCAGTGGCCTCTCTCTCTTTGTGATGGCCTATCAGTCTCTGTAGCAGTGGCCTCTCTCTCAGACAGACAGACACCAACCCCCTCTCCGTCCCCTCCCAGAACCTATTTAGTCTGTCTGTCCAGGATATAGTATGTGGCAGTGTGAGACAGCTGTGAGGCCAATGTGTTTGACAGAGTAAATGTTCACCGCCCACCACTGCACCCTGTCCCCTGCATCGCTGCAGTGCCATACAGTTGAGGTTAGGACCTCTCCGCGGTCAACCGGAGATCACACGAGACCCATATAGGAACTGAACCGAACCGACAAACACTTGTTTATCTCATAGAAATACATGGACCTGACAACAGTGTTCTGAATTTAAAGGGACATGAAAAGGAGCACTCATTTGAATGAGGTGTATCATTCACAGCAACGTAAACTCAGGCTTAGACTTAATCCGAAATGATTTAATATAGGATACAGTATAGCTAGGCTAACAGTTATGGTGACTTGGCATGGTGATTGCTGGTGTTTGAAGTTCAGTTGGTATTGCCAGTTCTGGTGACCATGATAAAGTATGATTCCTCAGTTGTTCCTGTATGGAACTGTCTGTACCCAAATGAAATATAATGTCCTGAGCTTTGCTGCTGATACATTTAGCCTAGACTAACCTTGAGAAGATGTACAGTACTGCAGGGAACTTCATCTCTCTGAGTGTTGACTGTTTCCAGACCAGCACAGTTGTCATGCGGCCTGGATGTGGAACTATTTACAGTACATATTATGCATACTAGATGCATGTTTTAAGATGCATATTGGCATTAGGTCTGATGTAATCTTCAGGCTAGAACATTAGTTCCCAAACTATGGGTCGCGACCCCATGTTTGTCACCTGATATGAAAATGGGGTCACGGGAGAATTTCAAAAATCCTTAAAACAAAAACAAACAAAACAAAAAATATATATACACTACTGTTCAAAAGTTTGGGGTCACTTAGAAATGTCCTTGTTTTTTTGTCCATTTTAAAATAACATCAAATTGATCAGAAATACAGTGTAGACATTGTAAATGTTGTCAATGGCTATTGTAGCTGGAAACGGCTGATTTTTTTTAAATCGAATATCTACATAGGCGTACAGAGGCCCATTATCAGCAACCATCAGTCCTGTGTTCCTATGGCACGTTGTGTTTGCTAATCCAAGTTTATCATTTTAAAAGGCTAATTGATCATTAGAAAACCATTTTGCAATTATGTTAGCACAGCTGAAAACTGTTGTGCTGATTTAAGGAAGCAATAGAACTGGCCTTCTTGAGACTAGTTGAGTATCTGGAGCATCAGCAATTGTGGGTTCGATTACAGGATCAAAATGGTCATAAACAAATAACTTTCTTCTGAAACTCGTTAGTCTATTCTTGTTCTGAGAAATGAAGGCTATTCCATGCGAGAAATTTCCAAGAAACTGAAGATCTCGTACAACGCTGTGTACTACTCCCTTCACAGAACAGCGCAAACTGGCTCTAACCAGAATAGAAAGAGGAGTGGGAGGCCCCAGTGCACAACTGAGCAAGAGTACAAATACATTAAGTGTGTCTAGTTTGAGAAACAGACGCCTCACAGGTCCTCAACTGGCAGCTTCATTAAAAAGTACCCGCAAAACACCAGTCTCAACGTCAACAGTGAAGAGGCGGCTCTGGGATGCTGACCAAGGCAGAGTTGCAAAGAAAAAGTCCAGTGTCTGTGTTCTTTTGCCCATCTTAATATTTTATTTTTATTGGCCAGTCTGAGATTTGGCTTTTTCTTTGCAACTCTGCCTAGGTCAGCCTCCCGGAGTCGCCTCGTCACTGTTGACGTTGAGACTGGTGTTTTGCAGGTACTTTTTTAATGAAGCTGCCAGTTGAGGACCCATGTTGTTGGTCCCATGTTTCATGAGCTGAAATTAAAGATCCCAGAAATGTTTCATATGCACAAAAAGCTTATTTCTCTCACATTTTGTGCACACATTTGTTTACATCCCTGTTAGAGAGCATTTCTCCTTTGCCAAGAAAATCCATCCACCTGACAGGTGTGGCATATCAAGAAGCTGATTAAACAGCGTAATCATTACACAGTTGCACCTTGTGCTGGGGACAATAAAAGGCCACTCTAAAATGTGCTGTTTTGTCACACAACACAATGCCACAGATGTCTCAAGTTTCCAGGGTGCGGTCAAATGGCATGCTGACTGCAGGAATGTCCACCAGAGCTATTGCCAGATAATTTAATGTTAATTTCTCTACCGTAAGCCGCCTCCCAACATCGTTTTAGAGAATTTAGCAGTACGTCCAACCAGCCTCTCAACCGTAGACCACATGAATGGCGTCGTGTGTGCGAGCGGTTTGCTGATATCAATGTTGTGAACAGAATGCTCCATGGTGGCAGTGGGGTTACGGTATGGGCAGGCATAAGCTACGGACAATGAACACAATTGCATTTTATCGATGGCAGTTTGAATGCATAGAAATACCGTGACGAGATCAATTTTTTAAAAAGGCTTCTGTGACCAACAGATACATACAGTGCATTTGGAAAGTTTTCATACCCCTTGACTTTTACAGCCTTATTCTAAAATGGATTAAATTGTTGTTTTTCTCATCAATTTACCCACAATACCCCATAATGACAAAGCAAAAACAGTTTTTTAGAAATGTTTGCGAATTTAAAACATCACATTTACATACGTTTTCAGACCCTTTACTTAGTACTTGGTTGAAGCACCTTTGGCAGCGATTACAGCCTAGAATCTTCTTGGGTATGACGCTACATGCTTGGCACAACTGTATTTGGGGAGTTTCTCCCATTCTTCTCTGCAGATCCTCTCAAGCTCTGTCAGGTTGGATGGGGAGCGTCGCTGCACAGCTATTTTCAGGTCTTTCCAGAGATGTTCGATCGGGTTCAAGTCCGGGCACTGGCTGGGCCACTCGAGTACATTCAGAGACTTGTCTCGAAGCTACTCCTGTGCTGTCTTGGCTGTGTGCTTAGGGTCGTTGTCCTGTTGTAAGGTGAACCTTTGACCCAGTCTGAGGTCCTGAGCGCTCTGTAGCAGGTTTTCATCAATGATATCTCAGTACTTTGTTCCGTTCATCTTTCGCTCGATCCTGACTAGTCTCCCAGTCCCTGCCGCTGAAAAACATTCCCACAGCACGATGCTGCCACCACCCTGCTTCACCATAGGGTGGTGCCATGTTTCCTCCAGACGTGACGCTTGGCATTCAGGCCAAAGAGTTCAATCTTGGTTTCATCAGACCAGAGAATCTTGTTTCTCATGGTCTGAGAGTCCTTTAGGTACCTTTTGGCAAACTCCAAGCAGGCTGTCATGTGCCTTTTACTAAGGAGTGGCTTCCGTCTGGCCACTTTACCATAAAGGCCTGATTGCTGAAGTGCTGCAGAGATGGTTGTCCTTCTGGCAGGTTCTCCCATCTCCACAAAGGAACTCTGAAGCTCTGTCAGAGTGACCATTGGTTTCTTGGTCACCTCCCTGACCAAGGCCCTTCTTCCCCGATTGCTCAGTTTGGCCGAGCGGCCAGCTCTAGGAAGAGCCTTGGTGTTTCCAAACTTATTCCATTTAAGAATGATGGAGGCCACTGTGTTCTTGGGGACCTTCAGTGCTGCAGAACTGTTTTGTTACCCTTCCCCAGACCATCCCTACAGTGAAGCATGGTAGTGGCAGCATCATGCTGTGAGGAGGTTTTCAGTGGCAGGGACTGGGAGACTAGTCAGGATCGAGGGAAAGTTGAACGGAGCAAAGTACAGAGAGATTCTCTGTTTTGTTTTTGCTGGCACTGACTGGCTTCTCTGTCTCTTTCGGTCTCTCTCAAACAGTGTTCTGTGGAACTGAGGTGCGCCTGGCGCCTGCCTGCCGCAGGGATATCAGCACTCCCATCTTCCCCTCCTGAATCTTGGCCCCGTCTCGCACATCTTGCCATGTCTTGTCTCCCAACCTCTCTCTTTTTGCCGTCTCTTTCTCTTTCCTCTGCTCGTCTTTTATAACATTATTATTTTGTTTAGCAGACACCCTTGCCTGTAGTGAATTGCACCTCTATCCTGTTTTTAGCATTCTTTTATCTATTCATACTATTTAGTCTGTCACAACTGAGCGAGGACAGAGTTGTACTTTTGCCTGAGGGCACGATATGCCTTCTCTCTCCCTCTAGCTCTTTGAATCTGTCAAATTGCCAATCGAGAGAATTCGATCTGTTGCTTTCCACTTACCTTTCATCCCTCTTTCTCATTCCAGGGTGTCTGCTAAGAGTCAGAATAGAGGAGGATGAGGGAGAGATGGGTGGAGGAGTGAATTGAGGATGACGTTGCAAATTGGCTCTGTCCTAAAGTGTGACCCATAGACTGGATTGGTGTGACCTCAGTAATATAAGGCAGATGACTGTAACATATGTCTGGCGTTTTATATAGAACTCAATGTGAACTGGGTGTGTGGGAACCTCATGCTATTCACAGCTTCCTGGCAGGTTCCTTAGGTAGTGCATTTGATTCAGTCAGTCAACCATCAGTCTGCTGTTTGTCCTAAGCACCGTTGTCTTATGCAACAAGTCGACTCATCACCTAAGAATAGGTGGATATTTCACACCCAGTCTTCCTGGATCTGTTACATGGTTTGCAGCAGCATGTGATGTCATCAGCTGGAGACCAGTTATGAGTCATGGTTTCTGGGAGAGTAACCTAACCCTGTCCTCTCTAACGTGTTGCTTGTTTGTATATTATGCTCTTTGAATGCAGTTTCTGTGGTAATTATGTGTGTAACTCTTGACTGTGTGACTCTTGACTTATGTTTGTATTGAAACCATCCTACTCCGACTTCTCACCATCAGAATGAAACGACGGTCTCAGTTCAATGTTAGAAACTCTTGAGTTGGAGCAGCAGCCAAAGACGTATTATCAACATACCAACATAAGAATCTCTGCCAACTGGTACAACTCAGCAGCCAATAAGAATGGAATTCAGACCAGCCTTCAGCTTTAAGCCTGGCTCAGAGTCTGTACTGTGGTCTAGTATGACACCGACACTCTGTACTCTAAGATGGCAGTGGAATGTAGCACCAACTAGCTCAAGCCTAGTTCATAGTCTTGCAGGCTCTAGTTGTGTCTTGTTTATTATCCAGTCGTGTGGTCAAGTGCTGCAAGGAAAGACCTAGTTAAGCTGCAGCTGGCCCAGAACAGAGCGGCACGTCTTGCTCTTCATTGTAATCAGAGGGCTAATATAAATACTATGCATGCCAGTCTCTCTTGGCTAAGAGTTGAGGAGAGACTGACTGCATCACTTCTTCTTTTTATAAGAAACACTAATGTGTTGAAAATCCCATATTGTTTGCATAGTCAATTTACACACAGCTCTGACACACATACTTAACCCACCAGACATGCCACCAGGGGTGTTTTCACAGTCCCCAAATCCAGAACAAATTCAAGAAAGCGTAGTGTTATATAGAGCCATTATTGCATGGAACTCCCTTCCATCTCATATTGCTCAAATGAACAGCAAATCTGGTTTAAAAAACCCCCAGATAAATTAACCCCTCACGGCAAAACGCCTCTCCCCTATTTGACCTAGATAGTTTGTGTACAGTGGGGGGAAAAAGTATTTAGTCAGCCACCAATTGTGCAAGTTCTCCCACTTAAAAAGATGAGAGAGGCCTGTAATTTTCATCATAGGTACACGTCAACTATGACAGACAAATTGAGAAAAAAATTCCAGAAAATCACATTGTAGGATTTTTTATGAATTTATTTGCAAATTATGGTGGAAAATATGTATTTGGTCACCTACAAACAAGCAAGATTTCTGGCTCTCACAGACCTGTAACTTCTTCTTTAAGAGGCTCCTCTGTCCTCCACTCATTACCTGTATTAATGGCACCTGTTTGAACTTGTTATCAGTATAAAAGACACCTGTCCACAACCTCAAACAGTCACACTCCAAACTCCACTATGGCCAAGACCAAAGAGCTGTCAAAGGACACCAGAAACAAAATTGTAGACCTGAACCAGGCTGGGAAGACTGCATCTGCAATAGGTAAGCAGCTTGGTTTGAAGAAATCAACTGTGGGAGCAATTATTAGGAAATGGAAGACATACAAGACCACTGATAATCTCCCTCGATCTGGGGCTCCACGCAAGATCTCACCCTGTGGGGTCAAAATGATCACAAGAACGGTGAGCAAAAATCCCAGAAGCACACGGGGGACCTAGTGAATGACCTGCAGAGAGCTGGGACCAAAGTAACAAAGCCTACCATCAGTAACACACTACGCCGCCAGGGACTCAAATCCTGCAGTGCCAGACGTGTCCCCCTGCTTAAGCCAGTACATGTCCAGGCCCGTCTGAAGTTTGCTAGAGTGCATTTGGATGATCCAGAAGAGGATTGGGAGAATGTCATATGGTCAGATGAAACCAAAATAGAACTTTTTGGTAAAAACTCAACTCGTCGTGTTTGGAGGACAAAGAATGCTGAGTTGCATCCAAAGAACACCATACCTACTGTGAAGCATGGGGGTGGAAACATCATGCTTTGGGGCTGTTTTTCTGCAAAGGGACCAGGACGACTGATCCGTGTAAAGGAAAGAATGAATGGGGCCATGTATCGAGATTTTGAGTGAAAACCTCCTTCCATCAGCAAGGGCATTGAAGATGAAACGTGGCTGGGTCTTTCAGCATGACAATGATCCCAAACACACCGCCCGGGCAACGAAGGAGTGGCTTCGTAAGAAGCATTTCAAGGTCCTGGAGTGGCCTAGCCAGTCTCCAGATCTCAACCCCATAGAAAATCTTTGGAGGGAGTTGAAAGTCTGTGTTGCCCAGCGACAGCCCCAAAACATCACTGCTCTAGAGGAGATCTGCATGGAGGAATGGGCCAAAATACCAGCAACAGTGTGTGAAAACCTTGTGAAGACTTACAGAAAACGTTTGACCCGTGTCATTGCCAACAAAGGGTATATAACAAAGTATTGAGAAACTTTTGTTATTGACCAAATACTTATTTTCCACCATAATTTGCAAATAAATTCATTAAAAATCCTACAATGTGATTTTCTGGAAAAAATATCTCATTTTGTCTGTCATAGTTGATGTGTACATATGATGAAAATTACAGGCCTCTCTCATCTTTTTAAGTGGGAGAACTTGCACAATTGGTGGCTGACTAAAAACTTTTTTTCCCCACTGTATATATTGATATGTAGGCTACGTGTTCCTTTTTATAATTGATGTAGTTCTGTCCTTGAGCTGTTCTTGTCTATTAATATTCTGTATTATGTCATGTTTCATGCTTTGTGTGGACCCCAGGAAGAGTAGCTGCTGCTTTCGCAACAGCTAATCGGGATCCTAATATAATACCACATTCTGTAACGTTACTGTTGGAGACATACTGTAGCACTGTAGAGTTAGTTAGGGCCTAGTCTATATGTGAAATGGATCCCTTTTTTACGAATAGGGCTGCACGTTCAGTAGGCCTATTTTATAATTTTCTATCCGCCCATGCCTTCATTTTATGTCTTGTAATAAGTGTCATGACACTCACCTCTCTCCCTCCCTTTCTTCCTCCCTCTCTCTCCCTCTTTCCCTCCTTCTCCAGATGATGAGGTGGACTTGCAGCAGAGTACAACAGGGAGTGAGGGAGGGAACTCATCAGGCGGAACCCCTCCCTCCAAACGCAAGGGCAAGTTCTCCAGCTTTGGTAATATGTTCAAGCCCTGGAAGTGGAGGAAGAAGAAGAGCAGTGAGACGTTTATCGAAACCTCAATAGGTACCTACCCTTTATAAGTAGGCAAATTTATGTATGGATTTATTGTAAGGACGTGTTGAAGTTGAACTTCTATCTTAAGTCAGCTCAAGTCTTCATGGTGTCAGACACGGTTACTCATCAAGGCACCTCTGTTAAGGGAAAAAATTAAGCATTTGTTTACTTTCAGTGTTGGAGAGGAAGATCTCAGTAAGGAGACCTCGTCAGGAGCTGATCGACAGAGGAGTGCTGAAAGAACTCCCAGAGAATGGTATGCAGACTAGGGCCTATCCACAAAGCCTCTCAGAGTAGGGTGCTGGTCTAGGATCAGGCCTTTTTGATCATAATAAATAAGATTATATGGACAGATCCTAAATCTGCACTCCCTACTCGGAGATGCTTTGTGGCTACAGGCCCTGATCATTGTGGAGTAGGCAAAGGACCTAAAGAGATACAAGAGCCTATATTTTATCAACGAGAAACAAAACTATAGTAGGGTAACACTTTTAGAGAATGTTGAGATGTAGAGAATATCTTTGCTGACCTCAAATTCCATCATTATGCGTTTCTGTGTCACAGAGGGCAACAATGTGAACCATTCCAAAGATTCGGTGTTGAAGAATGGCCAGCCAGTGCCCACGGATGTTGACCGGGTCTCAGAGTCAGGGGTCAGGGTGTCCCGGGGAGAGGCAGGCCCAGGGCTCAACCCCACCTGGCTGCCCCAGGGAGAGGACCCACGCCGGGGCAGCGTCCCTTCAGATGACCCCCGGAGCAGGAGCAGGGTGCCCTCCGACGCCTCGCGCTCCAACCGAGCCCCACTGGATGTAGACTCACACGCCAGGCTATCGGCCATAGATCTGGAGAGACGGAGCAGACTGCCGTCTGACGTGTCAGAGAGGAGAGGAGGGTCACTACCGAGAGGACCTGCTCCAGAGGAGGGGAGGCACCGGAGAGAGGAGAGGAGAGACGGGAAAGAGGTCAAGAGAGAGGAGAGGAGAGAGGGGAAGGATGAGAGGAGAGAGGGGAAGGATGAGAGGAGAGATGGGAAGGAGGAGAGGAGAGATGGGAAGGAGGAGAGGAGAGATGGGAAGGAGGAGAGGAGAGATGGGAAAGAGGAGAGGAGAGATGGGAAGGAGGAGAGGAGAGATGGGAAAGAGGAGAGGAGAGATCCTCGTGATGACAGGGAGGAGAGAGAAAGAAAGGATCGGAGGGAGAGGGAGGAGAGAGACCGGGAGGGAGGCGAACGGAGGGATGAGAAAGACAACAGGGAAAAGAGAGACCGGAGAGATGACAGGGAGAGGAGAGATGATAGAGTAGTGAGAGAGGAGAGGGACAGAGATGATCGAGAGAGGAGAGAAGAGGGGGGGAAGGAGGACAAGGAGAAGAGAGGAGAAAAAGATGACAGAAGAGAGGGAAAAGAGAGAAGAGATGATCGTGAGAAAAGAGACGACAGGAGAGACGAGAAGAGAGAGGATCGAGAGAGGAGGGATGACAGGAGAGACGAGAAGAGAGAGGATCGAGAGAGGAGAGATGACCGGGAAAGAAAAGATGACCGGTACAAGAGAATCGATCGTGAAAAGCCAGACGAAAGGAGAGATGATCGTGATCGCAGAGACGATGGGGAAAAGAGGGGGGAAGAGAGGGATCGGAGAAGGAGTCCTCCTAGGGCTGGGAAACCAGAGCCCCTCTTGAAACCTATAGAAGAGGGTCGTCCTGTGGTCAGACCCCACTCTGAGATGGAGCTAAGGCCGAGTCTCCAGAAGACCTCCTCAGAGGACCTCCGTAGCAGGGTCCGCCCTGCCTCCGAGGCTTACAGCGGGAGCACCCTGCCCAGGTACATGCCATCTGAGGAGACCAAAGGAGGGGAGACCCGCGGACGAGCAGGTAAGAAACAGCCTGGGGCGTAAAAGTAAATGCACTTGCTTGTATGTCTGAAGGTTGCTCTGCAGTTGTTGGAGAAGTTCAACAATTTTTTAGTGGAAATAAGCACTTCAATGCACCACCAACCCCAGTGTATTGGGCACTTTGCAAGTGCAATGTGTTTCTGTCTGCTAGTTGAGTGTCTAGGAGATTCTGTGTTGTATATCTGGTAACTCTGTGATTCTCCTTGTTCTCACCCCTGTGAGAGGACTTGACCAGAATCCGTCTTTACTTAGTTAATCTGTTATAAAGCTGCTTATTGTCCAACGTTGTGTTGCAGCTCATCTCAGCTCTGTGTTCTATGTGCTCAGCACTGTACAGTAACAGTGTGTTTGTTGTGGTTGCGCTTTGAGCCCCAGGGACCATGGGGGAATAGAAACGTATTGTCCTCCTGACCTCTCCCTCTCTGTGTGTGTGTGTGTGTGTGTGTGTCTCCATGTCCTGTCCCTGTCTGTAGAGTCCACTGGTGTCCGCTTCGCCCCTAGCCACACCCCAGACCCTGACTCCACCCGTGACTCCTCCTCCTCCCGGAGAGAGCCGCCTCCTACCAAACAGGCCATGCTTCCTCCTAAGAGCCACCCCACTATCACCTCCTCCACGGAACCTGGCCAGACCTCCACTCCACCCTCCTCCTCCTTTATTTCCTCTACCTCCCCTACTATAGCGGTGGCCAAGCCACCCAGGACTGTCTCCCTGGTCATCAGTGATGACCCTCCTCCCACGCACTCCAACCCCGTCCCCCCTGCACGGTCCAGCCAGGTACCCCCCTCCTCCACCACGGGGGAATCGGCTGCTCCTCCCCATGTACCCCCCCATGCCAAGCAGCCACCTGTACCCCCACCCAAACCCACCAACCGCAACAGCAACCCCACTCTGCTTGGTGAGTTTACCCTGCCTCTTCTCCCTGTTTGTACAGTTGTTTCACTCCATAATGTACTGATTATAATTGTACTACATACAGTGAGGGGAAAAAAATATTTGATCCCCTGCTGATTTTGTACGTTTGCCCACTGACAAAGACATGATCAGTCTATAATTTGAACGGTAGGTTTATTTGAACAGTGAGAGACAGAATAACAACAAAAAAATCCAAGAAAAACAAATGTAAAAAATGTTATAAATTGATTTGCATTTTAATGAGAGAAGTAAGTATTTGACCCCCTCTCAATCAGAAAGATTTCAATACTCTTTCGCAAAGGACTCCAGTAGGAGACACTTGTGCTTCCTCGCCAAAAGGAGGCTATCGAGGAAGGGAGGACCGTCTTCCATTTGCCTATTAACAAATTGACACTCCTCGAAGACTCTTCTGTTTCTGGCTCAAACGAGAAAAGGCCCTAGTCTGCAGTTTCAGTGTACAGCGAGACAGTCTCTTAAGAGAGGGCTCGTCTTTGCCGCGTTTATGCAAGCACAACATACTCACACACACACAACGCCATACTGGCACTCCTCTGACAGGCTGGGAGCGACTCCAGAGCGTCCAGGGCTCTGATTGGCTGCCTCAGTGTTCTGTGTCCTCTGACCCAGCATGCCGCAGCTGCTCTAGGTCGGAGCCCATCCCAACAGTCTGTATAGTAACAGTTGTTGTGACGCAATTAGAAAATTCCTATGCCATTCTGAAGGCGTGGTCCTCATAGATACTTTACTCCATTTCACACTCACTCAGTATTCATACAGTGGACATCTGGCTAACGTTGTTGTCATGCTGAACATAGAGTTGTGTACAACAGAAATGATAGTACTCATAATTTGGACCTGATAGGCTTTCCGAGTCTGTATTCTGATTGGCTGCTACATTGACACACAACACCTCACGGTTCACTATCTGCACACTCAGCAAGTCTTAAATCCTGCAGCTGCTGTTATTTTCCCTCCATGTCTCCTGGCTAATCCCAGGGCTCAATGGTTAAATCATATACACTGAGTGTACAAAACATTAGGAACACCTGCTCATTCCATGACACAGACTGACCAGGTGAATCCAGGTGAAATCTATGATCCCTTATTGATGTCACATGTTAAATCCACTTCAATCAGTGTAGATGAAGGGGAGGAGTCAGGTTAAATAAGGATTTTTAAGCCTTGAGGAAAATTGAGACATGGATTGTGTATGTGTGCCATTCAGAGGGTGAATGGGCAAGACAAAATATTTAAGTGCATTTGAACAGGTTATGGTAGTAGGTGCTAAGGGCACCAGTTTGAGCGTGTCAAGAACTGCAACGTTCCTGGGTTTTTCATGCTCAACAGTTTTCCGTGTGTATCAAGAATGGTCCACCACCCAAAAGACATCCAGCCAACATGACACAACTGTGGGAAGCGTTGGAATCAACATGGGCCTCCATCCCTGTGGCACGCTTTCGACACCTTGTAGAGTCCATGCCCAGACTAATTGAGGTTGTTCTGAGGGCAAAAGAGGATGCAACTCAATATTAGGAAGGTGTTCCTAATGTTTTGTACACTCAGTGTATATAACCCTGTCATTGGTCATATACCATAAGGGATCCACAGAATGCAAACATCCATTCTCTCTCTGCAAGAGAGCAGCGGTTTATGTATCATCACAATATGTACATACAATAGGCCTACATCCTCACCAGTCTGTAAACAGACAATCATGTGTTTTCCTGACAGCTTTCTATCCAAAGTCTATCCTTATGCTAGATATTAGATTTAGTAAGATTAGATATTAGGTTACTTCTTAATTGGGCTCCTGAGTGGCGCAGCGGACTAAGGCACTGCATCTCAGTGCTTGAGGCATCACTACAGACCCTGGTTTGATTCCAGGCTGTATCACAATCCGGCTGTGATTGGGAGTCCCATAGGGCGGCGTACAATTGGCCCAGCGTCGTCCGGGTTTGGCCGGGTTAGGCCGTCATTGTAAATAAGAATTTGTTCTTAACTGACTTGTCTAGTTAAATAAAGGTTAAATAAATAAATAAACAATTAATTGAGGTAACAATCTGCCTAGCTGGGCGGCAGTGGCCAGATATTGTGTCCCGCACCTTCAAGCAGCCTGCTGAAGGCCTTGACCTCTGACCTCATCTCTGGCAGTGTCCACATTGAACAGGGCCTCCAGGGTCCACGGTCCCCCTCCTCCTCACTACTGGACTAGCTGGAGAATGCAGGGGGAGCTGGGCCTCTACCTTTCCCTGCCCACCTACCTCCACCGCCGACAGGCTGAACAAGCCTGCTCAGGTACCCTGCCCTGAGGGGCACAACCCAAACCTGCCATGCCACGCTATGTCGCTGTCATTCTGATTAACCATAATCGCTCCACAGCATGTGTTGTGGCACATCACCAAGTCTAATGCCTGACCTATAACAACTGAATAACTGTTCCCCATTCTGCCCATAGCGCGAAGTGTGATGCACCACCAGCATAGATCGATCGTCCCACACTACTTCATTCATTGCATGTGGATTGAGTTGTGGCTGAACTGACGGAACTAACTTGACTTGGCTGGAATGAAAACAATGCATGGAAGTTAGGATAACTGCCAGGCAGTGTGCCCCAGCTTGTTGGTTGTGTCTTCTTTGACTTCGAAGAAAGATCAAGAGAGACTGCGGAGAAGTGTGAAATGACTTCAAAATAATGTATTCAGACTAATAAAATGCTTTTCTGGTTGTTTTCAAATGATTCAGGCTTTAATACTGCACAAAATGATTTCCATCTAAACCATAGGGTAAGATGTGTACCGTTCATATCCAGGCCTGATATCATCATGCTTTTTAAATATGTTCCATCCATCCACTGGTTAAACGTGCATTGTGCCTTCTTGAAACTAAACAAGTCATCAGAATCCTTTAACCAGTTTGCTTGAGTGTGAATGTGATGCATTGATTGATGCATTTTATATTTCAGATTAGTAATACTCTTTTTCCCTCTTTCTTTCTCTGTCTGTTCTGTCCTCTGTGTCTACTGCATGTCAGTCCTTGTAAATGACTAGTATTCATTCTGTTGTGTGTTTTGTTCCATAGCGGAACTCTCTCAGGCTGGCAGTGGTGTCATCGTTGTTCCTGCCCCCACCAGGCGCTCTCCTCCCACTCCGCCCAAGAGGATGACCCCCGTCACCAAGCACCACTCTGGCGACCCGTCCCCTGAGCCAGAGACCACCGGCCCCTCTGGTTTTGTCCCAGTCCCCATACCTACTGTCCCCGTACCCCCCAGCACAGACCGAGACGACACCAGGGACACCCTCAGGGCAGTAGGGTTCCAACTAACCACCTCTGACCCTGCACCAGCACCCCGACCTCTGTCCCATATACCCACGTCCACTCCCAGGTCCCACCCCCACTTACCGCTCCCCAACCCTGCCTCCACCCCCCTCCCAGTCCCCCTCCCCATCCCTCAGAAGGACCCTCCCAGCCCCACCACAGAGCCGCCCAGCCACCCCCCAGCCTCAGTCCCAGCCATCCCCCTTCACATCCTGATCCAGCGGGCCCTGTGCTCCCCCAGCCCGGCCCAGGCTAACCCAGACGGATCCCAGAGAGCCCATTCCATGCTGTTTGAGTCCCCTCCAGAGTTCCTCACTGAGGCTGGAGGCCGACACTCCCTACCCGTCACCATAGAACCCCTCAGACTGTGAGTACACTACTTATTATACTTCCATAATGTCACAGCATGTCTATTAACCACAGTTCAAACGGGAACAATATTTACGCTAAGCTAGAAACGTGACTTAGATCATTGCAATAGAAAAAGACAAGTATATTCATACTTCATATGACTTGATCACACTCTATTCAACAGAGTCAGACTCAGTTGTTGACATTTCTCCCTCTCTCTCCAGACCTGATGACGATGACTTTGACATGGAGGAGGAGTTGGAGAAGCTTCACCCCAGGCGGATGCTGCCCCCCCAGCCCCCCAGGCAGCCTGAGCTGGAGCCCAGGAGCAGGAGGGGTCTGGTGGTTGACCCCAGGGTCAGTGTGATCCCAGAGGGCCGGGGGCCCGGAGACAGCAGTGAGGAGGATGAGGATGAGGAGACGGACTCTGATGGACCCATCCTCTACAGAGACGACGATGAAGACGAGGACGACAATCCACCAAGTTAGTAGATCTGAAGTCTGTTGATAATATCACATGGGTCTGGTGTTGATTTAGTAAGCAGATCTGAAGTCTGTTGATAATATCACATGGGTCTTGTGTTGATTTAGTAAGCAGATCTGAAGTCTGTTGATAATATCACATGGGTCTGGTGCTGATTTAGTAAGCAGATCTGAAGTCTGTTGATAATATCACATGGGTCTGGTGTTGATTTCAATCTCAGAAGTCAAACTGAAAGAATGAAAGAAAGTACAGTACTATCAAGGAAGGCCGTTTCATTATTAGTAAAAACAGTATCAATAAGGGAAATTCCATATATCTGTCTTTCTGTTTTCTTCCTTCATTTTATTTATTTTACTACTTGCAGGTAAAGCTAAATCAAATGAGTCGTGTAAACTGAGTAGTTTATAATGTGCAAATGTGATGTAGAGCAAAAGTATAGTCCCATGTTACTGGAACTGTTTGTCGGTACCACCCAGGTGCCTTGGCCAGCCGTGTGACGAGGAAGGACACCCTGGCCCTGAAGCTGGAGAGACAGCAGGAGAGAGAGGAGCAGGAGGGAGGAGAGGGACAGGACGGAGTCGGCTGGCAGAGCAAGGAGCAGTGGGAGACACTCAAGAACAAGATCGGTACCACGCTCAACAGGTAACTACATCTACAGTCGTGGTCAAAAGTTTTGAGAATGACACAAGTATTGGTCTTCACAAAGTTCGCTGCTTCAGTATTATGAGATATTTTTGTCAGATGTTACTATGGTATACTGAAGTATAATTACAAGCATTCCATAAGTGTCAAAGGCTTTTATTGACAATTACATAAAGTTTATGCAAAGAGTTAATATTTGCAGTGTTGACCCTTCTTTTTCAAGACCTCTGCAATCCGCCCTGGCATGCTGTCAATTAACTTCTGGGCCACATCCTGACTGATGGCAGCCCATTCTTGCATAATCAATGCTTGGAGTTTGTCAGAATTTGAGGGTTTTTGTTTGTCCACCCGCCTCTTGAGGATCGACCACAAGTTCTCAATGGGATTAAGGTCTGGGGAGTTTCCTGGCCATGGACCCAAAATGTCGATGTTTTGTTCCTCGAGCCACTTAGATATCACTTTTTCCTTATGGCAAGGTGCTCCATCATGCTGGAAAAGGCATTGGTCGTCACCAAACTGTTCTTGGATGGTTGGGAGAAGTTGCTCTCGGAGGATGTGTTGGTACCATTCTTTATTCATGGCTGTGTTCTTAGGCAAAATTGTGAGTGAGCCCACTCCCTTGGCTGAGAAGCAACCCCACACACGAATGGTCTCAGGATGCTTTACTGTTGGCATGACACAGGACTGATGGTAGCGCTCACCTTGTCTTCTCCGGACAAGGTGTTTTCCGGATGCCCCAAACAATCGGAAAGGGGATTCATCAGAGAAAATGACTTTACCCCAGTCCTCAGCAGTCCAATCCCTGTACCTTTTGCAGAATATCAGTCTGTCCCTGATGTTTTTCCTGAAGAGAAGTGGCTTCTTTGCTGCCCTTCTTGACACCAGGCCATCCTCCAAAAGTCTTCGCCTCACTGTGCGTGCAGATTCACTCACACCTGCCTGCTGCCATTCCTGAGCAAGCTCTGCACTGGTGGTGCCCCGATCCCGCAGCTGAATCAACTTTAGGAGACGGTCCTGGAGCTTGCTGGACTTTCTTGGGCGCCCTGACACCTTCTTCACAACAATTAAACCTCTCTCCTTGAAGTTCTTGATGATCTGAAAAATTGTTGATTTAGGTGCAATCTTACTAGCAGCAATATCCTTGCCTGCGAAGCCCTTTTTTGTGCAAAGCAATGATGACGGCATGTGTTTCCTTGCAGGTAGCCATGGTTAACAGAGGAAGAACAATGATTTCAAGCACCACCCTCCTTTTAAAGCTTCCAGTCTGTTATTCTAACTCAATCAGCATGACAGAGTGATCTCCAGCCTTGTCCTCGTCAACACTCTCACCTTTGTTAACGAGAGAATCACTGACATGATGGCAGCTGGTCCTTTTGTGGCAGGGCTGAAATGCAGTGGAAATGTTTTTTGGGGATTAAGTTCATTTTCATGGCAAAAAGGGACTTTGCAATTAATTGCAATTCATCTGATCACTCTTCATGACATTCTGGAGTATATGCAAATTGCCATCATCAAAACTGAGGCAGCAGACTTTGTGAAAATTAGTATTTGTGTCATTCTCAAAACTTTTGACCACGACTGTAGAGATCGGGGTGGGGGGGGGTGTTCCCCTATTCTAAACGTGTGTTTCTCTAATCAGGAGGTTGAGTCAGAGACCCACAGCAGAGGAGTTGGAGCAGAGAAACATCCTTCCAGGTAACGCTCGCTCTCTTTCTCTGTCAATTCTATTTTGTCTACATTTTTATGTCTGATTTAATATCATTTTTTCTGTCAATATCAACTTCATGCTTCATTAATCTCCCCTCGCAGTTGCTTTAATGTCCTTTACCTCTAGATAGACAAGCATCTCTCTGGTTTTACTAGTAACCCAAAACGATCTAATACAGTGGGAAATGTCAGTGTGTTGTAGACATCTGCCATACATCAGTCTGTCTACCCTATAGATGCCCCCTTGTGGTCTGTAGGAGTAATTCCATACAATAAAAGCTATGGCTTGCTTCATGCACTTGTTTGTTCTTGAGTTCCAAAATGGTAGTGCCAACACTAAGAATTTTAGATCATATTGTCTAAAACGTATTTTCACTCATATATCCATAATGTAAAGTTTTCACGTGTCTTGTGGTTATCCTCAGACTACTCTGAAAGCACTACTTAAAAGCTTTGTCCTTAGACAAAAAATGACTACATAATGTTCAGACTGCAGTGTATCTAAGACAATGCACTTCCTTGTCCCAGAGAGGGTAAAGACTGTGATTAAAACGACTCCTGTTACTCCTGTGCTGTGTAGGCACCAAGAAAAGCTCAGGGCCCGGAGTGCTGGTCTAGGATCAGGTCCCCCCCCCCCCCCCCCCCCCCCCCCCCCCGACCATATAATCATAATCATATTCATTATGATCTAAAAGGAAAAACGGATTCTAGATCAGCACTCCTATTCTGATACGCTTAGTGAATATGGGCCCTGGTCCAGTCTGCCTTTCTCTCTCTCTCTGACTAGCAGCAGTGTTTCTGTTCTGCCTCTGATGGAATGTCTTGTCTTATTGTAGCCAGGAACGAAGCTGATATCAGGGCAGAGAGGAGCGAGATCAAACGCAGACTCACCAGAAAGGTTAGCCTGACTCACACACACACACACACACACACACACACACACTGCAGAATTAAAACACATTTAGATATATAGTACACTAACCTTCATACACACACACTCCGGTGACAAAGCAATCATACACGGATATACAAATAAAACACTCAAATTTAACTAACCACCATAAACTCTTAACTTATCATTTTAGTTCCAGACGTTCACTCTGTGTGTTTCCTCTATACCTCCCCCCAGCTGTCCCAGAGGCCCACCATAGCAGAGCTTCAGGCCAGGAAGATCCTGCGTTTCCATGAGTACGTAGAGTGTACCACGACTCAAGACTACGACCGCCGTGCAGACAAACCCTGGACCAAGCTCACTCCCTCCGACAAGGTGAGTCGCAGTTAAGCGACTAACCAAATACATTGTAGATTGTAAAAGATTGGTATAAAATGGTAAGATTGCTCATCAACTATAGTATAGAGTGACAGTAATAAGAGACTGCCACACACTTTTAAATCTTTGTACCTTTATTTATACTAGGAAGTCCTCTGAGGTTGAAACCTCTTTTCAGACCGAGAGATTCTTTACTTTACTATTTCAGCAGTGTTTTGAATTCCAGACATACTCTGTCAAACAAAAATCCCAAGAATGCAATATAACCGCTGCTTAATGTCTGTGCTGAGATGTCCCCAGAGTATTACCTGGACCAGTGAAGCTAGGAGAAGAGGTTGAAACAGAAATTATTGCATACTTTCTATTATTCAGAGATTTAAAATCCCTGAGGAAAAAGATAGTTTGACCATTTTTTTGATGAAAACTGAGGTCTTATAACATTTGCTGTTTTGTTTTTAAATTTGCAGAACTTTTATTGACAAGTTAAAATCTTGAGAGGTTTATATTTATGAAGTTTTGAGGTTCCAGGATTTGGATATGAGGCAGGAAACTGTGTGGAAACTCATTATACCCAGATGAAGACAGCTTGTCTGTCGAAACAGTGGTTATTAGGTTATTAAATGATTGCATCTCAGCTCCTAGAGTCTTTCCTTTTTCAAGGAAACTGTGTGCCATCGCAAATACGTCTGACAGCTGGATAGAAGAGCAGACACTGTGGCTCCATTGTCATTTTATTCTCTTAGAAAAAAGCTGGAATTCTGAAGTGTAGGCACTGGTCGTTTTGATCTGTCTGTACTGTACAGTATTAAAGAGTAGACCTGCTCTAGGATGTTGCTGCCTGTACAGTGCATCACACCTGACTCAATCTTTGCTCTCTATTCTATTCAATCTAGGCTGCCATCCGCAAGGAACTGAATGAGTTCAAGAGCTCTGAGATGGAGGTTCACGAAGAGAGCAGGATCTATACCAGGTAAGTGTCCTATACGACACCAATATCAATAAATTATCTTATCAATTATCAAAATGACTCCTCAGATTTTGCTGAACAAGAGGAGAGCAAATACTGGTCTTTTCTTCCCACTTCAACATTTCTTCCAACTTTATGATGAACTCGGGAACTGTGTTTGAATTTTTGCAAGTTTGAAACCCTATATCTTCTTAGCCAGTGCACATTATGACTTTCCTCCATCCCCACTCCTCAGATTCCATCGGCCTTAGCTGTTCTCCTTGGCCTGGCTGCAGAACAAGCACTTAAATGCAATACTGAGCCAGGGGGTTGCAGGACTTCAATACGGAGCACACAGACCCCTGTTGACTGCAATATCCACAGCCCCCTGTCCTGGAACAAGCCTGTTCCTCCCCTGTAAGGCATACTATTGATGGCTGCATCTGAAACTATGGACTAGAGGAATGGGCTGTCTGTAACCATGGACTATGGATCTATGGATGTGGCCCCCCAGTCCATCCAGTCATTGTTAAAACCACAGACTAGAACTGTGGCCTATAGATAAACCACTCGCATCTAAAACCATGGACTAGGGATTTGGCCTCTCGGTCAAACCACTTACTGTTAAAACCATGGACTAGAGTTGACGCCCATCGGTCCAACCCCTCGCATATGAAACCATGGGACTACTGGTACTACTGTACTCCAACGTTTATCTGCCTGACAAGACGACCCACAGGGGGAGCAGGAGAAGAAGAACAACTAGCTGGAGGAGGTGGAGTGGTTTAGGCTTATTTCAGCTAACATTTTGTAGGTTTCCTGTGCCAACACTGTGACTATTACAATAGGAAGGACAAGAGGGACAGATGGAGATTGTGACAGAGAATGTCCTGTTTTGTTCCTCACATCACCTCCATTCTCTCTGTCGTTTCCTAAGGCAAGAATGTTCCCAAGAGGCCTTTACTGTACCTGCTTTTTAGAGTTCCCTCAACACTTTGCCTATTTTTGAGAACAGGAAAGAATTGTATACGTATTGATTGTTGATCATGATGATGGTCAACATTAGTACACGGTGGTACTAATGATTTAATGTTCAACTAAATGTGATACAGAACTTTGTTAGACTACATGACACTGGTGAAACCCTCCAGTGTGTGTGTGTGTGTATGGGTACCCACTGGTACCGGCCTTATCTCTGATGGAACAATACATGGATTGGTACGGAAACTGTACGGAGGAAATGTGAAATGGCTATAGCTAGCCTACATATCGGTGACGGGTTTAGTTTTCCAACCACAAGACATTAGTTAAAGTGAAACTCAAATGTAGCTTCTACTAGTCAGCTATCTAGCTGTGTTACATAGACCTTATTCAACATCGCTCCATTTTCCCCATACTCAATGATGTGCATTTTTACTGTATTCTGTTGATTATGTAAGTGGTTTTGTGACAGCCCATAATATAAGCTGACTAATCATTTGTTCAGCGTAGTAATAAGGAACCATATTGTTTAAAATTGACATTTAAAGTTAAAAAAAGAAAATACAATTTGAAACGTTAGAAATAATATAATTTAATAGGACACAACTTAAAGCTTACATACACTATAATTATTGAATGGTTGGTGTTGAAAGACTGCGGCAGGAACATGGATATATTTTTACTTCACAAATTGTTTTATTATGTTACTTTGTGTATGTAGGCCAGTGGTTGGCATCAGCTGTATAGACTTATCCTGTAGATTGATTTAATTGACTTTATATTATATATGTCTTCCTAATATTAACAAAAAATTGTTTTAAATGTAATTAAAGTATTACAACAGTGCTATTTTCTAATAATGATCTAAAAATGTTACAGAAAGAGGGTTACCTTATTTTACAGATGTTTTGAGATCTTTAAAATTACTTGCAAACCTACTGTATAAATGAATGGTCAACTCGCACTCAAATTAAAATAAATGGTTTATCATAAAGCATGTTGTCAACTTGTCATTATCACAATCACTTACTTGCCTTTTGAAAAATACTCCAGGTGAGGGCAGTATTACAGAAACTGTATTGTTTGGCTGCATCTTGAAACTCTTCTATTCTGGGTGGAAAATACAGGGACATTTTGTGTTGTATGGGTCAACAATAGCCTTCAAACTATTATGAATATTTCCTATCGTCATACATGCAGATGAGAAGTGTAGCCTAACTCTGGCAATAGAGTATTCTTGTATTCTTCTTCGACTGTTGGTGCATGGGATAAATAGCCTTCCTTGATCAGGCATGTTATATCATACTGCACATAAAGCCCCAAGTTAAATCAGGTCCTATTTGCTCCTCTCTTCACAGCCTTTGAAATGCTAATTATCGAGCCACGTAATAGAAACACATTAATTGTGCCCACTCGACCTCATGTTAGTTCTTCTTAGCCAATTAGCCGTAGAAAATTGTTATGCAAGTTTTTTAGCAAAGTGAATTAATATCTAATACTCTTCTACTCTTTCTTACTTTATTGCCTTTCATCTTTGCTGATGTATTCTGTTTTTATTGTTCAATTTATTCCTTTCGTTGAGTCCTTGGACTATTAATTGTGGACAATGTGTTCCACCCACAATAGCCATCAGTGGGTACTCTCCTTACTGATAACAATGTCATTCAGAACAGCTGCACCATCGAGAGCATCTCGACTGGCTGCATCACTGCATGGTATGGCAAATGCACCGCCCTCGATCGCAAAGCACTACAGAGGGTGGTGCGGATGGCCCAGTACATCACTGGGGTCGAGCTCCCTGCCATCCAGGACCTCTATATCAGGCGGTGTCAGAGGAAGGCCCGGCAACCCAAGCCTGTTCACTCTGCTACCATCCGGCAAACGGTACTGGAGCATCGGTTCTTGGACCAACAGGCTCCGAGACCGCTTCTACCCCCAAGCAATAAGATTGCTAAATAGTTCATTAAATGGATACCCGGACTAGCTGCATTGACCCTATCTTGCACAGACTCTATGCACACTTTAGACGGGTTGGCTGACAATGTCACAAATGATGCGAGCGCATCGATGAGGCCGTGTGGTGTTATGATTCGTAATGGTCAGATAGTTGGCAACATTGGCAAGAAGCTGCCATGTGGGTAATCGTAGGTGGCTCGTATCTTGTTACTGATACATGTTTTGAGTTGTTTTGACTCGTGTCATGTCTATGCTAATATGGCAAAAATTAGCTAGCTAGCTAACCAACAACTGTAACCATGTACAGTATTTTGAGAGACAAGTGCTCATTGTGCAAATGTATTTGTTTTCAATAAACATTTGGACACTAAATATAGTTTACATTTTGTAAACAATCTAAGCCTACCCCATAGTTGTTTTGCCCAAAAGATGTGCATGCATCGGTTTTGTTGCAACCAACAAAAATGTAACTCTTTGGCCTGAATGCAAAGCGCTGTGTCTGGAGAACCAGGCACAGCTCATCACCCGTCGAACACCATCCCTACAGTGAAGCATGGTTGTGGCAACATCATGCTATGCGGATGCTTTGAATGGAGCCAAATATAGGGAAATCCTTGATGAGAACCTACCTGCTTCAGAGTGCTAACAACCTTAGACTTGGAAAGCTGCCACGGTCATCCCCCTCTTTAAAGGGGGTGACACTCTAGATCCAAACTGTTACAGACCTATATCCATCCTGCCCTGCCTTTCGAAAGTATTTGAAAGCCAAGTTAACAAACAGATCACCGACCATTTCGAATCCCACCGTACCTTCTCCGCTATGCAATCCGGTTTCCGAGCTGGTCATGGGTGCACCTCAGCCACGCTCAAGGTCCTAAACGATATTATAAACGCGATCGATAAAAGACAGTACTGCGCAGCCGTCTTCATCGACCTGGCCAAGGCTTTCGACTCTGTCAACCACCGCATTCTTATTGGCAGACTAAATAGCCTTGGTTTCTCTAATGACTGCCTTGCCTGGTTCACCAACTACTTCTCAGATAGAGTTCAATGTGTCAAATCAGAGGGCCTGTTGTCTGGACCTCTGGCCGTCTCTATGGGCGTGCCACAGGGTTCAATTCTCAGGCCGACTCTATTCTCTGTGTATATCAATGATGTCGCTCTTGCTGCTGGTGACGCTCGGATCCACCTCTATGCGGACGACACCATTTTGTATACATCTGCCCCTTCATTGGACACTGTGTTAACAAACCTCCAAACGAGCTTCAATGCCATACATCCGTAGCCTCCAACTGCTCTTAAACACTAGTAAAACTAAATGCATGCTCTTCAACCGAACGCTGCTTGCACCCGCCCACCCGACTAGAATCACTACTCTTGGCGGGTCTGACTTAGAGTATGTGGACAACTACAAATACCTAGGTGTCTGGTTAGACTGTAAACTCTCCTTCCAGACTCACATTAAGCATCTCCAATCAAAAGTTAGATCTAGAATCGGCTTCCTATTTCGCAACAAAGCCTCCTTCACTCATGCTGCCAAACATGCTCTCGTAAAACTGACTATCCTACTGATCCTTGACTTCGGCGATGTCATTTACAAATAGCCTCCAACACCCTACTCAGCAAATTTGATGTAGTCTATCACAGTGCCATCCGTTTTGTCACCAAAGCCCCATATACTACCCACCATTGTGACCTGTACACTCTTGTTGGCTGGCCCTCACTACATATTCGTCGCCAAACCCACTGGCTCCAGGTCATCTATAAATCACTGCTAGGCAAATCCCCGTCTTATCTTAGCTCACTGGTCACCATAGCAACACCCACCCGTAGTCTGCGCTCCAGCAGGTATATCTCACTGGTCATCCCCAAAGCCAACAACTCCTTTAGCCACCATTCCTTCCAGTTCTCTGCTGCCAATGACTGGAACGAACTGCAAAAATCTCTGAAGCTGGAGACTCTTATCTCCATCACTAACTTTAAGCGTCAGTTGTCAGAGCAGCTTACCGATCACTGCACCTGTACACAGCCTTTCTGAAATTAGCCCACCCAACTACCTCATCCCCATATTGTTATTTATTTTTGCTAATT